AAGTTTTAGAACACCTCATTCAAGGGTTTTTCTTTATTTTTACTATTTTCTACGTTGTAGAATAATAGTGAAGACATCAAAACTATGAAATAACACATTTGGAATCATGTAGTAGCCAAACAAGTGTTAAACAAATTCTTCAAATAGCCACCTTTTGCATTGATGGCAGCTTTGCACACTCTTGGCATTCTCTCAACCAGCTTCACCTGGAATGCTTTCCAACAGTCTTGAAGGAGTTCCCACATATGCTGAGCACTTGTTGGCTGCTTTTCCTTCACTCTGCGGTCCGACTATTCCCAAACCGCTCAGTTGGTAGAGCATGGCGCTTGCAACACCAGGGTTGTGGGTTCGATTCCCACGGGGGGCCAGTATGAAAATTTATGCACTCACTAACTGTAAGTCGCTCTGGATAAGAGTGTCTGCTAAATGACTAAAATGTAAATGTTTGTACTTTTCCAATGTCACTTTCACACTTCATATTTTGAGCTCAGTTTTCAGTTAAATTAAAGCTACGTCAGTGAGTGTATTATGCACACAAAATTATTATTTGTACCTAATTTTTGTTTTCCATACTCGATTCAACAGATACAAGATGACCTTTCTGAACTGTGAATCAATATATATTTACCAGTGTCGTATGTTGGTGTATAAATATATTTTCACTGCTTGAAGGAGGGAAACATGCTTATCCAAGAACAGCGTGTCTCTGAAAAGGATGCTGCTCATTCGTGGAATGTGACCCAAATGGCACCCTATTCCCTATATAGTGCGCTACTTCTGATCAGAGCCCTATGAGGCCTGAATAGGGTGCCATTTGGGACACAAATATTTTGTTTGTTGTTGTTATCAGCAGTTAAAACATAAATCCCTTTTGACCTGTACAGTACAGATAACCTTGAACATACTCAAGTCTAGATGTACCCACCACACCACTAAGCTCAGGGTCACATTAAATAGCCACCAAACAGAACAATTCTTACCAAAACAGGGAGGCCCTACCTGAATTTGTCCAATGAGAAACCAATGTTTTCGTTTTTGGTTGCAAACCGCTTCGCAAAAATGAATACAACCCTGCTTTCCCATCTACGATCAGGGGTGAAGTTTCACCTACATACAGATCTAGGATCAGCTTCCTCTTCCTCAATCCTAACCTTAAAGGCCAACAGCGGTTAAAAACGTGATTTTCCTGTGTTTTATATACACTCAGTAGCCAGTTTATTAGGTACACCCATCTAGTACCGAGTCGGACCCCCCTTTGCCTCTACAACAGACTGAATTATTTGGGGGGTGGAAACATTGCTCAATTGGTATCAAGGGACCTAACGTGCAGGGAAACATTCCCCACACCATTACACCACCGCCACCAGCCTGTACAGTTGACACCAGGCAGGATGGGGCCATGGACCCATGCTGCTTACGCCAAATCCTGACTCTGCCATTAGCATGACGCAACAGGAACCGGGATTCGTCGGACCAGGCGATGTTTTTCAACTACTCAATTGTCCAATGTTGGTGATCGCGTGCCCACTGGAGCTGTTTCTTCTTGTTTTTAGTTGACAGGAGTGGAACCCGATGTGGTCGTCTGCTGCAATAGCCCATCCGTGACAAGGACCGACGAGTTGTGCGTTCCGAGATGCCGTTCTACACACCCCTCTTGCACTGCGCCGTTATTTTCCTGTTTGTGGCCCACCTGTTAGCGTGCACGATTCTTGCCAATCTCTTTTGACCTCTCATCAAAGATCGCTGTTTTCGCCCACAGCACTGCCGCTGACTGGATGTTTTTTGTTTGTCACATCATTCTCGGTAAGCCCTAGACACTGTCCTGAGTGAAAAGCCCCGGAGGCCGGCTGTTTCTGAGATACTGGAACCGGTGTGTCAGGCACCGACGATCATACCACGCTCGATGCCGATCTGCCTGCTTTATATAGCAAGCCACGACCACGTGACTCACTGTCTGTGGGAGCGAACCATTTTCACTCAACTGGCCACTGACTTTATACAGTGCATTCGGAAAGTATTCATACCCCTTCACTTTTTCCACATTTTGTTACGTAGCAGTCTTATTATAAAATTGATTAAATTTTCATCATCAATCTACACACAATACCCCATAATGACAAAGCAAAAACAGGTTTTTAGAAATATAATTTTACATAAGTATTCAGATCCTTTACTCAGCACTTTGTTGAAGCACCTTTGGCAGCGATTACAGCCTCGAGTCTTCTTGGGTATGACGCTACAAGCTTGGCACACTTGTATTTGGGGAGTTTCTCCTATTCTTCTCTGCAGATCCTCTCAAGCTCTGTCAGGTTGGATGGGGAGCGTCGCTGCACAGCTATTTTCAGGTCTCTCCAGAGATGTTAGATCGGGTTCAAGTCCGGGCTCTGGCTGGCCACTCAAAGACATTGAGACGTGTCCCGAAGCCACTCCTGCGTTGGTATGGCTGTGTGCTTAGGGTCGTTGTCCTGTTGGAAGGTGAACCTTCGCCCCAGCCTGAGGTCCTGAGCAGGTTTTCATCAAGGATCTCTCTGTACTTTGCTCCATTCATCGATCCTGACTAGTCTCCCAGTCCCTGCCGCTGAAATTACATCCCCACAGCATGATGCTGCCACCACCATGCTTCACCGTAGGGATGGTATTGGCCAGGTGGTGAGCGGTGCCTGGTTTCCTCCAGACGTGACGCTTGGCATTCAGGCCAAAGAGTTCAATCTTGTTTCTCATGGTCTGAGTCCTTTAGGTGCCTTTTGGCAAACTCCAAGCGGGCCTGTCATGTACAATTTTAGAATAAGGCTGTACTCGGACCACGCCCAGACAGTCCTAACAAAATTATTGCGTGAGAAATTGATATTTGCTAAGAAGCTATTTGTTTCTTTTTGACCATATTAATTGAAAGCAAACACAGAAAGGTACTTAAAGGGATTCTCCGGTACTTTAGTCTATTTTTTTTAGCCAGTAGTTCTGAAAGTAGCCAAAAGTGGTCCCCGCAAATTCAGTACTAAGTCACATATGTGCACCATGTCAGGCTCCAGCTCACTCTGCTGTGTGTGCCTCTTGTTAGCGGTCACTCATATAGCAAGGGGCTGAAGCTCATTGGTTGAACCAAAATTGCTAGGGTGCTGGCCCACGTGGGGGAAAATGGCATAGCATAGCTTCCAGAAAAACAGTAACTTTCAAATTAGGGATTTGGTGGCTAATTGAGGTAACAGTAATTCTGCTCGTAGATTACATATGTATGTACTACACAGACTAGTGATGCGCAGGTTGACTCATTACCCGCAGTCACATCCAACGGGCCGGATGGGTTTAGGGTCATTAGATAGTGTGGATGAAGGGTGGGTGGGTTGAATAAATAGAAAATACCTTAAAACATCCATAAATGTATAATTCTTGTGCAATTTATATCTATAGGCTACATCAAGGTTTTTCTTTCATTATGTTTAGGCTATCTGGCATTAGTGTGTAAGCCTTAGGTCCTACACGTCAATTGCCAAATGCTTTGGGAACAGGCAGGAAAAAGTTGTCACTCCAGGGAGGCAAAAAGGACAATGTCGGAGTTTATTCAGTAAGAGAAATGTTGCGAAATGGAGAGTTGAAAATAAAGAGAAGCGATGACCAGAAAAGTATTGTTTGGGAAAGATTTGGTGAAGTGGTAAAAGAGGATGATAGCAGTGCCGGCTATGTGATTGTGAGGCGCTATACAAATTCGACAGTTACTTCAAATAGAGAAGTTCAAGGCAACTGTAGCCTGCTGTTCAGATGGGTCAAATGGAAACTGAAATTTGGACACTGACTGTAGGTCTACATCCTCACATCGCCTAGATTTTAACTCTTGCAGAGTTAAGCATTTCTTGTAGTAAAATTATACACCAAATGTAGGCAACATTTTGACTTGGGAACAGGAACGGAGAAATATGATTTATTTCTTTCAGCATCATAAAAGCTGATAGTATTTCAACCATGAAATACGCATCCATGCCGGACTGAAAACGTATCTGAAACATGTTGGGTTGTTTTCACAGCTTTCTATTTCCTTACAACCAGTCAAACTTATGTCATTTGGACATTTTGCACAGAAAATCTTTCCAGTTTTTGTTATTGCTCCGCGAAAGAAGATGACTGAGAAAACTTTACCGGTCAACTAATTGAAGCATTCATTCTATCGATTTTTGACAATCTGGTGAGCAAGGGGTTTATTTAGTCTTCTAGGGTGACATGACAGAAGAGAAGCTGCATGTATCCAATTATAGACAAGTTGACTAAAGAAATAGCCTACCAAAATGTCAAAATTATAAGCAGAAACATTTTTTAAAAACCTGCACCCAGTCAAAAAAATTGTTAAGCCGTCTTTGACTGTAGCCTACAAGGCATTTTCTATATTACCGGGTTAGGGTTGGGTGCAGGCCTCAGATTTTCACATATAGCCGGGCGATTATGGATGGGTTATTAGCAATTGCGGGTGAACAAACAACTGACCCCGCGCACCAATAACACAGACACATCCAGCCCAAAGCGGGAGGTTTAAAAAATACTTAGTCACCAAAGTTCCGGAGCATGTCTTTAATTGATACCCAGAAATGATTTTATATGGAGATAAAAACTTCTGCATTACTAGGGGAAATATGCCATTTAGCAGACCCTTTTATGCAAAGCGACTTAGTCATGCGTGCATACATTTTTCCATATGGGTGGTCCCAGGAATCGCCATGCTCTACCAACAGCTAGAGGACCAGATAAGCATCTCGGGGTAACTTCACCCTACTGCTATGACCACAACATGGAACAATGGGATGAGACAAAAAAAAAAGAAGATACATGCTGGTCCAAACACATAATGCCCTGGGTTTTATTTTTTGTGAGAAGTTAATTTTTCATTTTGTGGATCTAAAAAAATAAATAAAAAAACTCATGGATCAATTATGCCATTGGAATGGGCATTCAGTTTGTAGTACAACAACAACTAGTAGCCTTGTTTAGTACCGTACTCTTCACAGAAGAGAGCTTGTATTTCCAAAGGAAGGCACCCGATACTTGTGGTTCATCTTGGCCTCGCAGCGTTCTGGAGAAATATTATTCTAAAAGCAAAGAAATCTGCCTTTTTATACATTTCCTTCTTGTTATGTATAAACTGGAATGATACATGTAATCAAGCTGTTACTACATTCTTCTACCTTATCGCATTTAAATCAACAAGTAACAAAATAATGAAGTCTTTCAATGAGGAACATACAATCATTATCAAAAACAGAAGGGGATACAAAAATAACTACATTTTTCACAAAATAATTGGAGAAGGGATCTTTAAAAAAAAAAGGTACTGATGTGAAAACAAACCAGAGACCTAAATCATAGAAAAGCAGCATTAATTCAAAACAAAAATAGTGCTTAGGTAAGTCAGAAGCAGCAGTGACTTCTAGGAACAGACTTCATTCCCATTTTGTTACTTGTCTCATGAACAAATTAAAATGGAAGATCTTAAGTGATTACCCTCTGACTGACAAACCGATGCCTTAAATCCACACCCACCAACTCTGTATGAATGCATGTCACCATTTGTTTCCACATGATACAATGAACCAACAACCAGGAATCTTCGAGGGAGGACCCCCTGGTTATGTTCACAATATACATAAAATACAGAAAGGTTAATAGCTACCTAAACAGACTACAACACGGGAACCAATGAGGGTACAGTGTACCAAAACAAAATAACGTAGAACAAAACCAAATTATAATAACTGTAAACACAGCACAATAAATAGATAAAACAGCAGGTTCCACACCATGCACTGACGTGATGACACTGTTGTACAACTCACACCCACCTCACACTCGAACCAGTTGCAGTTTGTCTTTTATTTTATCCCAAGTGCAAAACATCAAATGAACAATTTCTGTATTCAAGTAATGTTATATACAAGGGGGGAGGGGGGGTATTACAAATATGCGGTTCTGTACATATAATTGCCATATTCATAATTACAGATGTTGATATTTCTTATCAACAGTAACAAATAGGAAATGAAAAAAGTACGAGACGACCATTGCAATTAAGTCCCAACAGTTGCCATGGAGACAGCGTTGTATGCCGTGTGCGCATTCCACTGCCCCTTCCTTGCATTCACAACTCTACGATGCATAGCACCTAAATGAGTTCTCGGCTGAGCCCACAGTCCTGTCCGTGTTCGGAGGTTACGTGACCTCCATAGCCACTGTGTTGTCCGAAATGCTGTTTAGTGCTGGCTTGTCTTGATCCCGATTTTCCCTGGAGGCAAGTGGAGAAAATACGGACAAATCAAAATCAGAGACTGTTCAGTAAAATCTACATCAATATTGACTCACTCACGTAATGTTCCTGAATCAGCAGTGTAAGCTACGGTTGTCTGAACACTGTGTAATGGTCAATTTCTCTACACTTACTCAGTGTCCCAAATGGACCCTATTCCCTATATAGCGTACTACTTCAGACAAGAGCCCCATCAGAGCCCTGGTGAATAGTGCACTATAAAAAGGAGTAGGGTGCCATTTGGAAACACAGACACACTCATCCAGTTCCTCCCCCTCTCTCACCTTGGCACCATGTCCATTGACGGTGTGTTGGTGGAGATCTTAGGCATTTGACAGTTAGTGGTGGCAGCCAGCTTTAAGGCAGATGACGACACGGCGACGTGGGCGTGGCTTAGCGTCCGGGGTATGTGGCGCTTGGTGAGGAGGCCCCCAGGCGAGGACATGCTCAGACGGAGGTTGTTGTTCCCCATCAGGACCTGAGTGGTGGTGGAGTTGGCAGCATGTGTGTGGGGAGTGCCGTTGTTGTTGTTGGTGCTGGGCAACAGGAAGGGGGAGGAGGGGGTGGTGGTCAGAGGGCTAGGGGTGGAGGTGGGGGCAGCAGGCGACGGGGATGCTGTGCTAGTGAGGTGCAAGCCCTTGTAGACACCTGTGGAAAGGGAAGACAGAAAACAAATCACTACATCTGCATGGTCCTAGCAGAAGCTATACAAGCAGTTTCCACTTTGATCAGTTCCAACCTTTTATGTTTGATTCTGTGAAAGCCCTGCGTTTAATTGGAAACGCACTTGCCCACATCTGAGGTTACTTGAAGGTGCGTGGGAATAATTTGATGATATCTTGAAAGAAAAGAAACTTGCACACTGCGCTTACCGGATTCACTTGTGTTTATTCAGCTTACATACCGGCCTCATGGCCTTCGTCAGAGCTTTCAAAGTCCAAAGTGATACTGGCAAATGCAATGTGCGAGTTTCTCTTTTCTTTGATGCTCTGCTTTAAAAAAGTAGTTTATTTATTTAACTAGGCAAAGGCATTGATATTATTTTACAATAATGACCTGACCACAACAAATGCTTGGGTGCAGTGTTAACCTGAGGGTGGAAGGACCCCGTTGACCGGCCCTCCCTCATCCTTGGTCTTCAAGGCCAGCAGCTGGTCTGTGGTCACCAGGGCAGAGGCAGCAAACTGGGCACTGGCTAAATCTAATGTCTTGGACACCAAAACCTGTAAGAGAGGAGAACAACATATTACCACCATGCTAAAAACACAAACTGATGGACAGAGAGAGGAGAGAGGTCACGGGGCTGTATCAAACATCTCAGATTAGGAGTGCTGATCTAGGACCAGGTCCCTCTCCTATCCATTGAATCTTATTCATTATGATCTAAAAGGAAAAACGGATCCTGGAGCAGCGCTCGTATTCTGAGCCACTTTGAGAATACCCAGGTCAGAGAGCGGGCTAACTAACCTGTGTGCTGGTGGTAGTGGTGGTGTTGGCTTGCAGTTGCTGTTGAATCTGCTCCAGCTGCTGTTTCTGCATCAAGGCCAGTTGCTCCTGATGCTGCTGGTATTGTTGGGCGTTAAAAGCTGCAGGAGACACAGAGAACAGGTCACATCAATATGGGATGCATCCCAAAATGGCACCCTATTGCCTATACAGTGCATTATGAATGTAGTCATACCCTTAATATTTTCCACTTTGTTACGTTACAGCCTTACTCTAAAATTGATTAAGTTGCCCCCCCCCCCCCCCCAATCTACACAAAATAACAAAGCGAAAACCGTTTTTGAAATTTTAGCAAATGTATTAAAAAGTATTCAGACCCTTTACTCAGTACTTTGTTGAAGCACCTTTGGCAGCGATTACAGCCTCAAGTTTTCTTGGGTATGATGCTACAAGCTTGGCACACCTGTATTTCGAGAGTTTCACCCATTCTACTCTGCAGATCCTCTTAAGCTCTGTCAGGTTGGGTGGGGAGCGTCGCTGCACAGCTATTTTCAGGTCTCTCCAGATCAAGTCCGGGCTCTGGCTGGGCATTTCCTCTATCCTGACTATTCTCCCAGTCCCTGCCGCTGAAAAACATCCCCACAGCATGATGCTGCCACCACCATGCTTCACCATAGGGATGGTGCCAGGTTTCCTGCAGACGTGACGCTTGGCATTCAGGCCAAAGAGTTCAATCTTGGTTTCATCAGAGCAGAGAATCTTGTTTCTCATGGTCTGAGTCCTTTAGGTGCCTTTTGGCAAACGCCAAGCAAGCATTCGTGTGCCTTTTACTGAGGAGTGGCTTCCATCTGGCCATTCTACCATTAAGGCCTGATTGGTGGCGTGCTGCAGAGATGGTTGTCCTTCTGGAAAGTTCTCCCATCTCCAGGAGCTCTGTCAGTGACCATCGGGTTCTTGGTCACCTCCCTGACCAAGGCCCTTCTCCCCCGATTGCACAGTTCGGCCGGGCGGCCAGCTCTAGGAAGAGTCTTGGTGGTTCCAAACTTCTTCCATTTAAGAATGATGGAGGCCACGGTGTTCTTGGGGACCTTCAATCCTGCAGAAATGTTTTGGTACCCTTCCCCAGATCTGTGCCGACACAATCCTGTCGTCTCTGACCTCTACGGACAATTCCTTCGACCTCATGGTTTTTGCTCTGACATGCACTGTCAACTGTGGGACCTTATATAGACAGGTGTGTGCCATTCCAAATCATGTCCAATCAATTGAATTTACCACAGGTGGACTCCAATAAAGTTGTAAAAACATTGAGGATGATCAACAGAAACAGGTTGTACCTGAGCTCAACTTTGAGTCTCATAGCAAAGGGTCTGAATACTTATGTAAATAAGGTATGTTTTTAATTTGTCATTATGAGTAGTGTTTATTGATGAGAACATTTTTATTTAAATCAATTTTAGAATAACGCTGTAACGTAACAAAATGTGGAAAAAGGGGTCTGAAAACTTTCCGAATGCATTTAGAGAACTATTTTTTACCAAGGCCCATCCATGCACTACAGGGCTCAACCTTAACTCTCGTCCTCTTTTCGGACAAAAATAATATAGATTTAAGTTGTCCATGGACAAGTAAAAAAACGAATTGAAGAATAATCACAATATCAAACAATTACTTGGATCAGAATTTGATCAGAGGCGCCAAGATTTGAATAATATTCAAATAAATGTTTCATGTACATAAATAAAAAACCCTACAGCCTCATGTCCAAACCGATGCTGACAGGAGCCCGTCTGGTGTTCAACCTTCCCAAGTTCTCTCACGTCACCCCCCTCCTCCGCACACTCCACTGGCTTCCAGTTGAAGCTCGCATCCGCTACAAGACCATGGTGCTTGCCTATGGAGCAGTGAGGGGAACGGCACCTCTGTACCTTCAGGCTCTGATCAGTCCCTACACCCAAACGAGGACATTGCGTTCATCCACCTCTGGCCTGCTGGCTCCCCTTCCTCTGCGGAAGCACAGCTCCCGCTCAGCCCAGTCAAAACTGTTCGCTGCTCTGGCACCCCAATGGTGGAACAAGCTCCCTCACGACGCCAGGACAGCGGAGTCACTCACCACCTTCCGGAGACATTTGAAACCCCACCTCTTTAAGGAATACCTGGGATAGGATAAAGTATTCCTTCTAACCCCCCCCAAATTGTAAAGTGGTTATCCCACTGGCTATAGGGTGAACGCACCAATTTGTGAGTCGCTCTGGCTAAGAGCGTCTGCTAAATGACGTTAATGTGCCCTTGAGCAAGGCACTTAACCCTAATTGCTCCTGTAAGTCGCTCTGGTTAAGAGCGTCTGCTAAATGACTAAAATGTAAATGTAAATGTAGGAGGGAGGCACCAGAAAACGTAGCCAAACTTTAATTAAACTTTTAAATTACATAAATATAGGCTAACGCCAGTCATGTTTGACAAATATAATGAAGGTTAATTAACATTAACGTCTAAAGGCTTGATTCTGTCGACGTAGGAGGCACAGTTCGTTCAGATCAAATGGTCACAAGAACGGAGAGTGAAGGACAGTGCCTGTTGCGCACCGCACATTACCCAACTTGAATCTGAGCGCAGGCGGTCAAGCATTTAGAAACTATTTAACCATAAACTGAATTGTTTAAAACCGCAACGTTATGTCATTTTATGAAGCATGTCTTACCTTGTACTTTTAGAAACACTTCATGCCATTGAAACCAGAATTTCTCATGTTCTATTGTTTTTCAAATCAATGTTATTTTCTTGTGCAGCAGCCTAGTCATAGTAACCCATGCTAGTTGATAAATCTTTAGATCTCCTCTCTTAACATCTTAAGGATCGGACGCCTTTTTTCAATTTTCACCTAAAATGACATACCCAAATCTAACTGCCTGTAGCTCAGGACCTGAAGCAAGGACATGCATATTCTTGATACCATTTGAAAGGAAACACTTTGAAGTTTGTGGAAATGTGAAATTAATGTAGGAGAATATAGCACATTAGATCTGGTAAAAGATAATAAAAACATATTTGAAATGCAAGAGAAAGGCCACAATATAATATTGCAGTTTAGGCAGAATTTAGATTTTGGCCACGAGATGGCAGCAGTGTGTGTGCAAAGTTTCAAATTGATCCAGTGAAGCATTGCAATACTGGACTATTTTGTATCAAGTCTGCCCAAATGTGCCAAATTGGTCAATTGATACATTTTCAAGTACATAACTATAAAGAACATACAAAAATGTAAGTTTACACACTCCCAGGAATGTCATACATGATGGCTCATTAGCTTATACAGTCGTGGTCAAAAGCTTTGAGAATGACACAAATACTAATTTTCACAAAGTCTGCTGCCTCAGTTTTGATGATGGCAATTTGCATATACTCCAGAATGTCATGAAGAGTGATCAGATGAATTGCAAAGTCCCTCTTTGCCATGAAAATGAACTTAATCCCCCCAAAAAAATTCCACTGCATTTAAGCCCTGCCACAAAAGGACCAGCTGCCATCATGTCAGTAATTCTCTTGTTAACACAGGTGAGAGTGTTGACGAGGACAAGGCTGGAGATCACTGTCATGCTGATTGAGTTAGAATAACAGACTGGAAGCTTTAAAAGGAGGGTGGTGCTTGAAATCATTGTTCTTCCTCTGTTAACCATGGTTACCTGCAAGGAAACACGTGCCGTCATCATTGCTTTGCACAAAAAGGGCTTCACATATTGCCGCTAGTAAGATTGCACCTAAATCAACCATTTATCGGATCATCAAGAACTTCAATTGTTGTGAAGAAGGCGTCAGGGCGCACAAGAAAGTCCAGCAAGCGCCAGGACCGTCTCTTAAAGTTGATGCAGCTGCGGGATCGGGGCACCACCAGTGCAGAGCTTGCTCAGGAATGGCAGCAGGCAGGTGTGAGTGCATCTGCACGCACAGTGAGGCAAATACTTTTGGAAGATGGCCTGGTGTCAAGAAGGGCAGCAAAGAAGCCACTTCTCTCCAGGAAAAACATCAGGGACAGACTGATATTCTGCAAAAGGTACAGGGATTGGACTGCTGAGGACTGGGGTAAAGTCATTTTCTCTGATGAATCCCCTTTTCGATTGTTTGGGGCATCCGGAAAACACCTTGTCCGGAGAAGACAAGGTGAGCGCTACCATCAGTCCTGTGTCATGCCAACTGTAAAGCATCCTGAGACCGTTCATGTGTGGGGTTGCTTCTCAGCCAAGGGAGTGTGCTCACTCACAATTTTGCCTAAGAACACAGCCATGAATAAAGAATGGTACAAACACATCCTCCGAGAGCAACTTCTCCCAACCATCCAAGAACAGTTTGGTGACGACCAATGCCTTTTCCAGCATGATGGAGCACCTTGCAATAAGACAAAAGTGATAACTAAGTGGCTCGGGGAACAAAACATCAACATTTTGGGTCCATGGCTAGGAAACTCCCCAGACCTTAATCCCATTGAGAACTTTTGGTCGATCCTCAAGAGGCGGGTGGACAAACAAAACCCCACAAATTCTGAAAAACTCCAAGCATTGATTATGCAAGAATGGGCTGCCATCAGTCAGGATGTGGCCCAGAAGTTAATTGACAGCATGCCAGGGCGGATTGCAGAGGTCTTGAAAAAGAAGGGTCAACACTGCAAATATTGACTCTTTGCATAAACTTAATGTAATTGTCAATAAAAGCCTTTGACACTTATAGAATGCTTGTAATTATACTTCAGTATACCATAGTAACATCTGACAAAAATATCTCATAACACTGAAGCAGCGAACTTTGTGTCACTCAAAACTTTTGACCACGACTGTACACTAACTTTCACACATCTAGATGGCCGGGCGGGGCGGATCTGGAGCCAGAGACAGCAGGGGTTCAAACTGTAGAACCCAGTTCCTACATTTGAATATGAAAATAGATTTTATCAAACAAAACTATGCTACATTTTATCTCTGGGACCCTTAGCAAGATTACTGAATGGAAGTACATTATTTACCTTCAGAGGTGAATGTATCACACCAGTTGCCGTGATAAGTTTGTTGTTGTGCACTCTCCTCAAACAATAGCATGGTATTTTTTCACTGTAATAGCTACTGTAAATTGGACAGTGAAGTTAGATAAGAATTTAAGCTTTCTGCCCATATAAGACATGTCTATGTACTGGAAAGTTTGCTGTTACTTACAAAGAGTCATGCTAATCACATTAGCGCACGTTAGCTCAACCCTCCCGTATATGGGACCCTGATCCCATAGAGGTTAATTTCTAAACAGATAATTTCATCTATGTCACATGAAACCGCTCACGCGTGCGGTGCGCTTTCGAGAATGGCGTTTTCCCGCTATTGCATTTTGGAACATTTGCGTGTATCCTATAGCCATGTGTGCATTGATGAGGTTATAATATGAAGAAATAAAACTATCAACATTTTAAGCTAAACGGTCTGATCTGTTGCATCAGCCTCAATGCTTTTGTAAAAAAAAATGTATGAGCAGTGGTTGTATGAAATTTGGATCTGTCGTCCCAGAGTCTGTTTTGAACCGTAACATTTATCGGCCCAGGGACGACCTTAATTTTGAGCCCTGGAGGGGCTGTAATTGTAATGTTGCAATATTTTACAGGCTACCAAGGGTCACTAACTATCCTCTAGGAGAAGCCTTAAAAGGGGAGCATTGGATTTTGAGACAAGCTTGAATAAGCAAAGAAGCAAATAGGCAGAGTGTATCCAACATTTTTGTCTGATTCTATGGTACAAATATATATATTAATGCATTTTATTTTTGTAAAGTGGCATCCTTGCATCAATCATACAATGAGCTTTTGGACAAGTAAAAAAATAAATAAAAAAATACTGTCCTACTAGTCCAAAGGACAAGTGGTTAAATGGTTAATGTCAAGCCCTGCACTATATAAGGAATAGGGTGCCGTTTGGGATGCAGCCTGTGGGGGACGTAATAGCCAGGAGTGTTAAGGGACTAGGGGGAATGGCAGAAGACAGGGCCTGTCTGTAGGTCCATCTCCTGGCTTTAACTCTCACTGAGGCCCTGAGCTGAGATACACACAGCGGTGGTCAGCAGCCAGTCTGTGTTCTTCCCTCTCAGCACTGACCCTTAGGATCAGGAGGCCAACCTAGCCCCACGACCAACACATTTCCCTATAGGACAATAAAGTATTCGATCATTCACTCACACAGCCAGAAAAAGATTGCAAAAGGCAATATACAGTACCATCAAAATCAGTCCATCTTTAAAACCAAAGCCATCCAATATAAACAAATCCCTTTCCAATCACTCAACTGACATGCAATGAAAATTCTGGAAGAAATCAATAGGCTGACATTTCAGAGGGGTTTTCTGGATCAAATGGGGCTTAGGAGGTGGGCGTGGCGTGGCCCATGGTGCGGTTGCCGACAGAACATTTTAGAGGCCCTGTTGGCCACAGGAGCACATTTCCTGCAATTCTACACATTTTACCATTACTTATGCTATCCGAGTGACTCAAACATAACAAAACCCATGCCATGACAAAAACACTCCTGAATGCATTATTTTTTGAATTTTTGATTCTCCCTGACTGTTTAGCTTTTATTTTGGTGATTATTAGCTCTCAAAGATGATCTTATGAAAAAATATAGGCCAAATTATATTTTCTACATACTTTATATCTGGTTTTAGTTGTTTAACTTTGCACACAAAAAAATGTTTCAGCACCTCTGCGTGAGATCACTGTGAGAAGTGACATCGAGCCAACAAAGGGTTAAATTTGTATGCTTGTGAAATGGTATTACTCTATGAAAACAGTTTGACAATTGGGGAACTCATTCACACTGATGCCCCAGAGAATAGTAGAAAGGACAATGGTTGCATCCCAAATGGCACCTTATTCACTTTATAGTGCACTACTTTTGACCAAGGCCTTTATCGGGAATAGGGTGCCATTTGGTATGCAACCGACACTTTATATTCAGAGCAGCGTCCCATCCACGTCCGTCCATCCACACACAGAATATATTTATCACACACATTTTTAATTGACTGTTGCTGGCCAGGGGAAAGGCCACGCCACATGAATTCCAAACATTACAGCCATTCAAAATGTCACACTCATTAAGAAAGGAATTGATCACCTTGTCCGCACCACAAAAGGAACAAGAAATTGTTTTTTGTCCCTGGTGGTCAACTAAGTGGAGGACCCAAATGTCCCCCTATATAGTGCACTACTTTTGTCCAGACTCTATGGGTCCTAGTGCACTATATAGGGCAAAGGGTGCCATTTGGGAAGTGACATTAAATTCAACACACACACACCCCGACAGCGGCACAAAAGCAGGGTTGGCAGGGAGCGAGAAAAAGATAATTGATCTAACACAATGTCTCAATTTTATGACTTTCCAATTACCTTTCTCAAAAACCTACCAAAGTAAGAGTCGCTCCTTTTTTAAAATTTTATACAGCTCCTGCAACTAGACAAACCATGATTCAGTGCCTTTGATCTGGGACTCTGTGCGTGCATGCGTGTGTAGACATGGACTGTATGTGTGTGTGTGTGTGTCTATGGAACGGTCTGTGTGAGTGCGAATAACCCTGGGCCCTACTCACCAGCTGTGGGGGCCGGGGGGCCAGCTCCTCTCAGGGGGCCAGTGGTGCCAGCCAGTGTAGAGGTGATGCGACTCAGGCCCCTCCCCAGCCTCCTGAACAAGGGGTCTGTGACCATGTTGTCCCCGTCATGTAGTGGTAGTGTCCGGGGCCTAAAGTGCCGCCATCGGCTCGACTTAATGTTCAACAGTATCTGACTGAGGTCCGCAGAAGAGGAGGAATAAGAAGAAGAGGTTCTGTCCGAGGTATTTGTTTGTGAGGTACTAGCAAACTTGTCTGTGACTGGAGAGTGGGGCGGCAGATCAAGCATTTCCGAGTCCAGCCCATGAAATACATTGTCAAAGTCTGTGTGTGCCCTGTCAAGCAAAACCCTGAGGGAGAGAGGAGAGGGAACAGTGTTTAGGTCCTTCTGTTAGCCACGCAAATCATTCATGCTATTGGTCCCAGAAAACCATAATTATATTCTCATGTATGGTCAGTACTAGCATGCATAGCTATGAATTGGAGACTGGTTACATTTCTCCTGCCCCATCACTCAGCTGTTTACTAAAACATTGGCGGGGGTAAACCCGCTTTGTTGTTTGAATCCCAGATTGCCCCTTTTACCCTGCAGTAACCTACCTGCCCCCTCGTCCCAGGCGTCGTCGTGCCATGCCCAGGCAGCATGGTGGCACTGTGAGGGTGGTGAGGCAGTAGCGGTAACGAGTGTCTCCCAGACCACCCTCTGACGGACTGACCCACGGCCAGCTGCCCCCGTGGTCCAACCGAGACTGGTGACAGACAGACACAGGAGGAGCCATTAGACATAAGACATGACAGGAGTTACGATACATGGTCAGACAGTATGCCACTGGGACTATATGGGAATGTGTGCTCACTTTCCTGTGTTTCTGTATTGAATTAAGTTGTATTATAATTGATTGATTGATTGATTGATTGTGTATTTTGTATGCCGACCACAAAATGTTTTTTTTGTGTGTAAATGTTCAGTAAGGTTATCGTATGGATTCTTCTATACTCACAGCATAATATTGACAGCCTGCTTTCCTCCGGAAGGCAAAGGAACCATCTGGGTCATTCTCCTCCTCAGCTTCTGAAGAACCTGAGTGCATCTGGAGAGTAGAGGGAGAGAGACCAGTCAGTCACAGGTCACCAACAGGGCCATCTTTATGATTAACACATTTCCCCCACAGATGTCCAAGGCCCAATCCTAAAGCGACCCCTAAGCCGTAAACACCTGTGGAGATCTGAGAAGATTTGTAAGGTGAAAATAATATAGCCATAGCTCCACCTTCCCCTCCGATAGGCTAGGTCAGGGTTTCCCAAACTCTGTGATCGGGACCCCAAGGGGTGCACATTTTGGTTTTTGCCCTAGCACTACACAACTGATTCAAATAATCATCAAGCTTTGATCATTTGAATCAGCTGTGTAGTGTTGCTTATACCAATCAAATCCTCTCAGATCTCCAAGTGCCTCGGGATCCATTTGGGACGCAGGCCAAGTCAAACCGCTCTGCCTACCTGGGAGTGCAGCTCATCGTCTGAGCTGGGGAAGTCATACTGGTGGACATCCTTAGCGTTGAACACAGAGGGGCCAGAGTGGTGGGGGGCAGCAGCTGACAGGGGTAAGACTTTAGGCTTCTTCTCATACTTCCTCTTCTGCCTGACGACCTCTGTCTTCTCCGGCTAGGAGGGAGGGAAGGACCCAGACACATTGTCACTCACTTGCTGTCTAACATTTTAGGAGAAAACCTTCAAGACATTTGCACGTATTCACTAAGTATCTCAGAGTAGAGCTGCTGATCTAGGGTCAGGCCTCCTTTCTCCATATAATCTTATTCATCGAGCTCTAAAAGGCTAAACTGATCCTAGAGCTGGCAGTCCTACTATGAGACACTATATGAATACGGGCCATTGATGTCGCCCTTTTGCCCTCTCTCACCTTGGACTTGTACTCCTTGAGGTCCATGTGGTCCTGATGTCTGTACTGGTTGCTGTTGGTCAGCGGCACCAGAGGGATAATATGGGCAGGCTTGTCCAGAGCACGCTGGGCCAGCACTTCAGCCATGATCTCACCACCAAAGTCGGACATGCCGTTCCTGGAGGGGAAAAGGTCAAAGTCAAGTTATAATCAAGCATTTGAAAAACAACTGGATCTCAATCAAATCGTCAGCCACTTTAAAACATTGTTTTGGAACTGAACGATTCAGTTTTGGAACTGAACGTAAAGTTTGACTTTATGATAATAATACTTTTTTACACAAGCTTACTTAAATTTACAGTAAAAAAATAATGTTTTAAGACATGTGGTCCTCTGTAGCTCAGCTGGTAGAGCACTGCGCTTGTAACGCCAAGGTAGTGGGTTCGAACCCCGGGACCACCCACACACTAAAAAATGTATGCACGCATGACTGTAAGTCGCTTTGGATAAAAGCGTCTGCTAAATGGCATATTATTTATTTATTATTATTTAAGGCCAACTCTTAAATGTATCGCAACCATTCCTATACAGTAGTACCACAGAGATCCTATAGGCCAAATTCATGGTTGGCTAGCTAGTTAACAAACACTGAGCAGATACATCTACAAATGCATTGTTTAATACTATATTCTACCATAATTTGAAAAGTTGCTAGAATTGAAAGCTTTCCTGACCAAGATGGCTGGCATCCTAGCAACATGACTCTGAAAACCTCTGTCTCCATGAGTAGTCCCCACCTCTTCTCTACAATCTCCAGGGTGAGGTGCAGCAGCTCTCTCTTGCTCTTCTCCCTCCTCTTGATCATCTCCAGGATGGTGACGGCTCGGCTCAGGTCCCTTCGCAGCTTCAACATCTTCTCATACCCAGCCTCCTCGTTCTTACGGTTCTGAGGTGGACAATTTCACCATTAATTGACAGTCATCTGCTGTCAATAACCTAGCGTAGGCCTCTATTTAGTTGAAATGGAAATGTGTAGGCGTATTGGTACATACCACACACTTGGGACCAGTTTCCTGGACACAGGCTAGTCCTGAACTAAAAAGCATGCTCAATGGGAATTTCCATTGACCGAGACTTTAACAGTGTCCGGGAAACAGGCCATTAGTGTTTACCTGGGTTGGGTCAACTAGCCCCTATATGCCCTGTTCTAGAGGTGGGATCCTACCTTTCTGGTCTGCATCTTCTCCGTCCTCCTGCGGAAGGCCACATAGGGGTCTGAGGTGCTGGATCCGTCCCTCTTTTCCTGCTTCACAGTGGGGTGCAGCGTGCTGTGCTTGCTGTTTTTCCTCTTCCTGGTCCAGTAGTCAAACACCTCCTTGATCAGCTCATCATCCTCCTTCAGCAGCAGCTTGGCCTCCTGCAGGCTCACCGCCTGACGGGGGAAGAGGGGAGGGAGGAGCAGGGGGTCACATTTTGGAGGAGGCAGGGTCACTGTCCTGACTTGTCCCCAGGATTCCCAGGACTATAGACGCTACCATGAGTAACTCCAGTAAGAGTATCTCCTGTTTCTGTAGCGCGAGACAACTTTATGTTCAAGACAGTACACACTCTGGACAGGATGCTAGTCTGATGCTATGATTCCCCATTGTAGGCTACTCTCTCTTCTCCCATCTAAGCCAAGTACATGTGATTGGGGATATGAGGGTGGGGGGAAGCCCAGATAAGGGCAAATAGGGCCATCGTTAAAAGTAGTGCACTATATAGGAAATCGGGTGCCATTTGGGACGCAGCATCCAAGGCTTACCTGCTGCCCACTGCCTTTCTCAAGTCGGTCGATCATCTCCTCAAACTGCAGGAAGGTGATCTCCATCTTCTTCTTCAGCTTGTTCACAAAGGCCTCGTCCTCTGTGTCCAGGTCATAGTCCGGCTGCTCCGTGTCCAGGCTGAAAGCTACAGCGTGGGAGAGATGGAGAGAGGGTTTAGACATGAGGATGTCAGTGTCCAGGCTTAAAGCTACAGAGAAGGGAGAAAGGGGGATTTTAGACCACTGAAAGCTGGAGGGAACTTTAGACACGAGGATGGGAATGGAGTGGACTTTCAGAGATCCTGGGAGCCATTTTAACTCCCCATCGTGACGTCAAACCCGCGAGAGGTTAATGCTGCTCAGCGTAAATGTATACTCTGGTTCGGTTTGCAATAATTAAAAAAACACCTGAAAAAGTGGCTCATGCTGGCAAAAGCTACGCGTCCATGACGCCGCAGTGTTAACTCCCCTGTTAACCCTGAGCACACATGCTAATGTAGTAGCATTATTACAATGCAATTCCGTTTCAAGAGTTCAGATGAAAAGCTGGCTGCACATCTCTCACATTATGGGATATGAGAGGCCTTTTAGCCCTAGATCTTCTGTCTGAAATAATGCTGATCTCATGTTCTGAGCTACTAGCGCTTCGATGTCGATGGTACATAAAGATGTTGGAATTCAGATATGACGTCATGGTTTTACCACTACCCATGGAGTTTTTAAAACTACGGCGCGTGACATGGTCCATTGCGCCAGTAAATCAGCACTATCTACTTTAGGTTTTTCAAATTGCATGCGTCTTGGAGCTTAAATTGGGATCATATATTCTGTGCTAACGTGCCGATACCAAAAAAAAAAAAAAAAAAGAGTAACAGAGCAATGTCTAACAGAGAATTTCGGTAAACAAGGCATTTGTGGTAAGTGCATGGAGGCCGCCATCTTTATGCACCTCCGCTATGCTAACCAAAGCTACAGCTGTACTGAATGGGGTAAAGTGATTACTTTACATTTGGTCGTTAAGGAAATCTGAGCAGAATCGAGCCAGAGAAACATAAAAATTCATGGCAGTCATTTATCTAGGCAACTGCATTTACAATTTTGCCAATGGCACTTTCAAAGCCCAAGACGGACAAGAAAGTCGAATCCTAAAAACACGCCTTCACTTAAATGAATTAGAATGCCATTAGAAATTAGATTTGAGCTCTGACGACTTCTACTGCTAGACTTGCAGCAAAAACATCAAACAAGGCGACATGAACTTAAATTAATGCCGTTGCCTATCATAGAAAATATGTCTGTAATCTGACAATAATTGGACAAATGACAGCATGGACTTCCACTTTAAACCAATGACAAAAAGTCATGACCAGGAACTTACATTTAGCCTAGCTCTTATCTTAAGCAATCAAAACAAAGAATATGATTCATGGACGATATGACAAGGTCTACTAAATTACTACTAAGGCCAGATCCCCCTACCCTTGAGAATTATGCCATACAAACTCAAATGTCACAAAATAACCAAAATGTCTTGCCATTATCTAAGAACCTACACCCACAAATGCAGATGTTGATCAACAACTCCAAACGGACACCTTGAACCAAAGCACTTGTGGAGATCTATGAGGATCTGACAGCTGCAATCAATATGGAAACAGCTCCACCGTGTCCTCTGATAGGCTGGGTGGAAGTTTCATCATATTGCTTATACCAATCAGATGCTTTCAGATCTCCACAAGTGACACAGTGCGTTGGGGTGGATTTGGGATTGAGCAGTAGTATAGGGTCCTACAGGTTCAGCCAGGACAGCCAGTAGGGCTGGGAATTGCAAGGGACCCCGTGATACGATATTTTTACGATACTCAGGTGCCGACACATTTTTACATGTTTTAGTCATTTAGCAGACGCTCTTATCCAGAGCGACTTACAGGAGCAATTAGGGTTAAGTGCCTTGCTTAAGGGCACAGACAGATTTTTCACCTAGTCGGCTCGGGGATTAGAACCAACGACCTTTCGGTTACTGGCACAACGCTCTTACCCACTAAGCTACCTGCCGCCCCACGATATGTATTGTGATTCAATACTGCAATTTTATTGTGATCCGATGTTCCAAACATATGCTACGGAGGGACAAGAGAGCCATGAGAAAACAAGTTTTGATCAGTCATGGAAATAAAAGTGCTGAAAACATGTTGGCTCACTATTTATAAAGAAGATGGAGAACAAGCTATAGCACCCAAACTCAATAGGCAGACCACGGGCAGATCCGAACACAGAAACTTAAAAATATATATACAGTGCATTCGGAAAGTATTCAGACCCTTTGACTTTTTTCACATTTTGTTAGGTTACAGCCTTATTCTATAATTGATTAAATTCTTTGTTTTTTTTTCATCAATCTACACATAACACCCCAGCTGACACTGCATGTCAGAGCAAAAACCAAGCCATGAGGTCGAAAGAATTGTCGGTAGAGCTCCGAGACAGGATTGTGTTGAGGCACAGATCTGGGGAAGGGTACCAAAACATTTCTGCAGCATTGAAGGTCCCCAAGAACACAGTGGCCTCCATCATTCTTAAATGGAAGAAGTTTAGAACCACCAAGACTCTTCCTAGAGCTGGCCGCCAGGCCAAACTGAGCAATCGGGGAGAAGGGCCTTGGTCAGGGAGGTGACCAAGAACCAGATGGTTACTCTGACAGAGCTCCTCTGTGGAGATGGGAGAACCTTCCAGAAGGACAACCATCTCTGCAGCACTCCATCAATCAGGCCTTTATGGTAGAGTTGCCAGACGGAAGCCACTCCTCAGTAAAAGGCACATGACAGCCCACTTGGAGTTGCCAAAAGGCACCTAAAGGACTCAGACCATGAGAAACAAGATTCTCTGCTCTGATGAAACCAAAATTGAACTCTTTGGCCTGAATGCCAAGCGTCACGTCTGGAAGAAACCTGGCACCATCCCTACGGTGAAGCATGGTGGTGGCAGCATCATGCTGTGGAGATGTTTTTCAGAGGCAGAGCCTGGGAGACTAGTCAGGATTGTGGGAAAGATGAACGGAGCAAAGTAGAGAGAGATCCTTGATGAAAACCTGCTCCAGAGAGCTCAGGACCTCAGACTGGGGTGAAGGTTCACCTTCCACAGGACAACGACCCTAAGCACACAGTCAAGAAAATGCAGGAGTGGCTTCAGGACAAGTCTCTGAATGTCCTTCAGTGCCCCAGCCAGAGCCCGGAATTGAACCCAATCGAACATCTCTGGAGAGACCTGAAAATAGCTGTGCAGCGACGCTCCCCTTCCAACCTGACAGGGCTTGAGAGGATCTGCAGAGAAGAATGAGAGAAACTCTACAAATACAGGTGTGCCAAGCTTGTAGCGTCATACCCAAGAAGACTGTAATCGCTGCCAAAGATGCTTCAACAAAGTACTGAGTAAAGGGTCTGAATACTTATGTAAATGTGATATTTCAGTTTTTTATTTTTAATACATTTGCTAACATTTCTAAATCTGTTTTTGCTGTCATTATGGGGTAGTGTGTAGATTGAGGGGGAAAAAACGATTTAATCAATTTTAGAATAAGGCTGTAACGTAACAAAATGTGGAAAAGGTCAAGGGGTCTGAATACTTTCCGAATGCACTGTATAAATATATATTTATTTGTATTAGATCGGGATTCGACTCCTGGTATCATATGAACACACAAAATATGAAAAATGTTTAGGATTGCAGGAAATTAGCTTTAAAACTGCTATTTTTCCTCTCTGCCAACAAGATGGGTGTGAACAGTTTGAACAGTTCGGGATCGCATGGGCTGCGAGGTGGGGGTTTGTTACGATGCAGATTGATGACAATATCCATCCGGACCTAATATAGCTAATGCTATTTTTGTACAAATCTATACTTGGGAGTCAAAGTATCGATATAATATTGTCAAAACTAATATTGCAATATGTAACTACTAACTATCGATCCCCCCCCCCCCATCACTAGCAGCCAGGTCCACTCTACTCACGCTGTATGTGAATAAGCTGCTTTGGCATCTTGAACTCCCCGGGGTAGAGAGACTCGTAGTAGGCGATGTTGCCGTCTGCCTCTGGGACGGGGATGACCATGTTGTGTTTCTCTCCATACACTGACTGGGCTGACATGGCCCTCTGGAGATGGTGTTCCTAGAGAGACAGAAAGAGTTTAATAATTTATGCCATTTAGCAGACACCTTTATGCAAAGTGACTTATAATCATGAATGCATACATTTTGGTATGGGTGGCCCCAGCGGGAAACAAACCCTCTGAGCCACACAGGACCAGAGAGAAGTACAGAGATGAGGGCAAATGATTGAACAACATACCTCTGCTCAACAGGAACTATATGTATTAAACAAAGTCTGAGCACTTGGATAGCTAAATTGACAGGGTCAGCTGGAAGTTTGAGGTAACTGATGCATAGAGAGAGGACCACATAAGTCAGAGTGAACCTCAATCACAGTCACACCGACTGCTGCCATCTGATCCATGAGGCCAGGAACAAATCAAGCATGAAATCAGTACTGACAGAAACAGCATCCTTTTCAAGGAGATTTCAGGTGACAAAACTATTCATTGTTTGAAAGTACTAGAAAAACAAAGAACTGGAAAATAAAAAGTACACAGCAGGACTTGGAAAGTAAGGAGTAAAAGTCCTGGAATGGTCATCAAAGTCACACACTGATTGAATAGGCTTTTCCCCAGGTGCAGAACCCACGTACACTCCTCCACTTATATCCAAGGCAATTTGTAGGCTTACTCTCATACCTGTTCCTGTTCCAAAGTCTGGGGACTAGTTTGGACCAAGCACCTGGCAGATACACTTTACAACAACCAAATAAATGACAGTCATTTCAAATAACTACAAAACACCAGTGGGAAAAAAAGCAGCGAATCACGTTTGAACAGTGTCCTCTGGCTCTGAACAGGGCCTGGGGCGGTGGGGGTGCTCGTCTGAGCGGGCCGGCCAACAGTACTAAAATGAAAGGGCCTCTGGCTCTCAGACAGACGTGGGCACCATGCCCTTGGCAGCCTGTCAACACAGCACAAGCACAGCGTAGTCCCAGACCTGTACATCATCTCTCCGGAGTGTATGTGTGTGTTTATGGTTTCACTGCTCTGGGGGCCCTAGGCAATCTAGAGTTGTTTCTTCTGCGTTCTCACCATCTGTCCCCCAAATGGCACCCCATTCCCTATTTAGTGCAATACTTTTGACCAGGTCAGGTAAAGGGTACTACACTACATAGGGAATACTTTGGTCCTGATTAAAAGTGCACTATAAAGTGAATAGGGAGCCATCTGGAACACGTCATCCACTATCAACTGGAGTTCTGAAAAGTGTTTCCCCGTCAGCAGCTATGGCTGTGACGATACCAGTATTGCAATGTTTTCTCCATGGAAAAAATTTAAACACAATGCAGACCAAACTCTTTAGTCCTTTAAAAACCTGCTGTATGTAAAATAATGTGACTCTGGAAGAGTTTCTAACATTAGGGTCGTTTTCCTAAAGAAGTTGAATCCGCTTCATGTTTTGTTTCCTTGCCACGATACTAACAAGTTTCGCAATACTGGCATCGTCCCGGCTCTATCAGCAGCAGTCAAATCTCCATTCATCGGCACAATGATTAATTTCTGGAACACTCCGTTAACGTTTTTGAAAGAAAAAAATTATTCAAAAAACTAATTGCCGTTTGCACACAAAATATTTCCCAATGACCATGGGAAATAACCACTAGAGGACGACCGATATCGGTTTACCGATATTAGCCTTTTAACAATATAGCGGTATCGCCCACTAAGTCCACCGATAACCAATATTGAATAAATAGGATGAAAAAAGGAATCTCACGCTTATCTGAACACTTACGGCCATTACCATGATGTCATTATTGTCACAACGTAAGAAATCAACATTTTAATCATGTTCATTGGACAAATGGTATTTTGGATGGCCAGTGTGGAAAAAAATGTGCTTTAATTTCCCAGCTGGAAAACAGTATATATCGGCAGATATATTGGTAAGCTGCCCCCCATAAAATCTGTTATCGGACCACCCAAAACATTATAGGTCGGGGTCTAATAACCACTGACTGGATTTTAATACCGGCCCATTTAGTGTGAATACTAGTGAACATGGACAGGGTCACAACACACAGATAGGCTAACCAATGCACTACAGGGATCTTTGGCTACTTCAATTCTCCACCCATCTACCAAAGTGTGCACTTGCACACGCTCCGTCATGGATATAACAGTGGTGGAAACTCCCTCCAGCCAATGCTTACCTACATTAATCCAATGCGTTTAAATCCATGACGAGGAGTATGTTGCACACTTTGGGAGAAGTGTGGAGAATCGGGACACAGCCCTACTCTCTTGCCAATGGCTGAAAATGGTGCGCTTGCCTGCAAGTTTGTTCTGCATTATAATAGGTCTACGTGCTTTGCAGTGGAGTCAAGAGATGGTTAACCTACTCCCAGGCTTGCTGAGAACATTACTGTTGACAACCAATTCACATTTTTATTTTCACACTCTGGACTGCTACAAAGGCGAGCTCCTATATAGGCTATTCTGCTTCTAGGCACACTGTTCAGTAACTTAAGTTCCCATTGCATTTATTCAAAGCCTTTGCAGTGACCGAAATGGCCATAGGGCTCTGGTCAAAAGTAGAGCACTATATAGGGTGGCATTTCAGTCACCACCAAGGCTTTGACCCTTCCAGACTGTGTACTTTCATAATAACTAGGGCCATGACGATACCAGTATCGCAATATCTTTTTCACGGCAAAATTGAAAACCCGAAGCAGACCAGACTCTTTGGTCCTTTAAAAACCTGCTGTATGTAAAATATTCTGTGTTAAAGCTTAAATAAATAACTCTGGATGACATGTTTGTTCCCAATAATAGGACCTAAAGAAGTTAGATTCGCTTTTTGTTTTGTTTCCTTGCCACGATACTAATGAGTATCGCGATACTAGTATCGTCCCGGCCCTGATAATGACCTAGCAGGAGGTTTCGGTACATTTTCACTGAATCAAAGCCCCAGAGAGCATGAGCAAGCTAAAACACAAACCACTGGCTGATTATTCTCCTCTATAAAATGTTTTATATAGGCCTAGAACTGCAGCCTCAGAAAAATACACAGGCTGCCAAACGTAATCAAACACCATTTTTATAGGCTACTTCCCTAGCGATGGAAATGGGCTAGTGGATAATAGACTAGTTGAATTGCGGCTACTACCACAACAAAAATAGCCAGCCTGGCCTGGCCCATCCACCATCTGTCTCTTCCTCCTCCAGACTGCAACAGTCTAGAAATAGCCCTTTAAATAAGCGTATCGATCACTGTCAAGGTCTGTCCACTCTGGCGGTCCACTACTGCTGCTCCTGGCCTGCCTGCCTACCAGGCAGCTACTGTCCCAGACCCTGTAAATGCCACTTAACATTAGCGGTACACATATTCGAACCGTTCAGTACGGGGACCTTGTTTCAGTCTGCACTGTGAACACGAATTAATACATAAAAATGGTTATATAAGGAATACAAATACACTAGGACTATAGGCTATGCTTTCACTGCATTGTATGCCTTTTCAGTAAATGAGCTTATAAAAAAACATTTCAGCTCAAATTCAATCAATCGCCGCATTTCAAACTGTCCTTTTGTGAGGCGCAGTACGATGGCGAGTGGTGGGGTCGATAAACCAGGAGGATTCTCCATCATAGTTTAAATCTCCAGTTTGGGAACATTTTGGCTTCCCAGTAGGTTACAACGGCGATGGACAGAGAGAGTATTTTGCCACTGCTCAACGAGAATAGCATATGCAGCTGCAAACGTCTCAAACATTGACACATTTAAGCCGACATCCCCTCCAGTATTCCTACCATCGGTGCAAGGCTGAAACGCATAAAAACAAGAACGTCGTCTCCCCCCTTCGTCCCCTTCTGGCAGCTGAATCGGACTGGGCCAAAGACATTACAAGGACGATAGGTATGATTATAGCCACGGATATGCGCCCATTCTCTGTGGTTGAGAAAAATAGGGAGTTTCAGCACCTCGTGAAAGTACTCAAACTACAATACGAACATCGCAATACATTCCGAACTGTGGGTTTGGTGAATCGTTACACACTTAACATGGACAGCCACAGGGGACAGTGACTGACGGGGCCACGGAATAGCAGCACATGTCTAGAGAGAATAACTCATTCTATGTAACTTTACCACTGTGAGACTGGATGTCTCCCAAATGGAGCCCTATTTAGTGCACTACATTTGACCAGAGCTCTATGGGCCCTGGTCAAAAGTAGTACACTATATAGGGAATAGGGTGTAATTTGGGATGCACCCTAGTTATGCAGCCTAGCTTTGCTCCTGTTACTAAATTGTTTCCTGGAAACCATCTGGGGTCGTATATCATAAGCGTCTCAGAGTAGGAGTGCTGATCTAGGATCAGGTCCCTTTCTGTCATTGTGATCTACAATGCAAAACTGAGCCTAAAATTGGCAATTCTACTCTGAGACTCTTGATACATACAGCCCCTGGGCTAACCTCACTCAGGCTCAACACCTGTCTGAGGGGCGAGAGATATGGCCTAAAAATCTTGATCTTTTCACATTCATGGCCGACTCACAATTTCAATCTAAAACTGTTTAAATGTTCTCTCTAAATAAGCTGTGTTGTACAATTAAAGGTTGGATACAATGAATTTCAAAATCAGTCAGCAATAATCTAATGAATTCAGGGCTTGTGAAATTATACCTAGGCAAAATAAAAGCCTTCCACACCAATTAGACACTAATCATTTAATTATTTTATAAAAATAGTTTAACCTGCTTTATTGCAATAATCACTGATCTGGCTTTCAAGTCTATGAAAATGCCCTTTGTTACACATTTTTACCAGAACCATGCATAATGCAAATTCACTTCTTGTAGCAGGCATTATAGAAAATGAACACAGGTCTCAAAACGATCCCTCAAGCACAAACCCACATGCTAGTGAGTAGCCAGCTAATCTATATACAAATCCTTAAATTTAAAGTTTAGCCAACTTGGGTCTATTTGCATGCTAACAAGGCAGAACTTTTTAGTTGTTATGAACAAACCCTTCTGTCCTTCTCAAAATGTTTAACAGCATGTTAACCTGTACACTTTGTTCAGATGTTGAAACGGCCTGCTTTATTTCTCGGAATGAGATCGAGTTGCCAATTCCTTAAATAAATTGTGTTTTATGCTTATTGCACATTTGTAAAACAGACTAGACAGCTAGTATAACAGTCTTTAGCTAATATGCTGCTAGCGGTACATGGTGCGACTAACCGAGTGTTCATTTTTCAGAATCAACGTTAATTGATACTTCCATTTTAGTAGTGTCTGCTCTGCGTGCAATTTGAGCAGTTCAGACATAAAAAGGGTATCGTTAGAAAAGTAAACTGATCTATTACAGTAAAATGTCTCGTGTTTCGGTGTCCATATGACTCATTCTGTTGGACCAAACCTCAAAATGCAAATAGCGAGTTGAAACCACTTGTCAGAGGAAGTGATCTCTCATCTTTGTTGTTTGAGTGGCAGGGGGAGGGGCTTGGTGTGTGGAAACTGTGGAAGAAGTGAAGCAAGAGGTTTACTCTCACCAAAACTTGTCCAAAATAAGCCCAAAGCGTTTCTATGGGCTTATTTTGGACCTAAGCTTGTCACCTGCCTTCCCGCCTTTGGGACGACTCCCCCCATTGTTAAGGGCGGCGACATGAGCATCTCATCACTATATACAGATCTCTGGTGATCTCTTGGATACATTGTAAACGCAGGTACAACGAGGGGGGGGGGGGGGGGGGAACAGCCAGCTAGCATTGATTTGTTTTTGCAGAGGCATTTTTTGGGAGCATCTGATGACCTAATGTGGTGAGTGATGAACATGAAGGGATAAGAACGTTGCCACTGAGCATGGCACCAGAACATAAAGAACAAACGACTGGGTCGCGTCGGTAAATATCGAACTAACCAAAAGATGAGAAAGTATGAATTTGCTTAACGGATGCTGCGTCATCCATTATTTCTAAAAGTTCATGTACATTTTCAAACATTTGCCAAAATGCAATTCGCGGCAAAACACCATTCTAAACAGCTCACCTGATAGCAGTTCCATATGTGACAGAGATTCAAATCTCTGTTAGAAACTTAAAGAGGGGGAATCTAAAGACGCAATAACTACAGTGCCTTCAGAAAGTATTCAACCCCTTGACCTTTTCCACATTGTTGTGTTAGACTAAATTTAAAATGGACTAAAATGAGATTTTCACTGGCCTACACACAATACCCCATAATGTCAAAGTGGAATTATATTTTAGGAAATTTTTACAAATTGATACTAAAATGAACATCTTAAATGTCTTGAATCAATAAGTATTCAACCCCTTTGTTATGACAAGCCTAAATAAGTTCAGGAGTAAAAATGTGCTTAACAAGTAAGTTGCATAGACTCACAGTGCAATAATAGTGGTTGACATGATTTTTGAATGACTACCTCATCTTTGCACCCCACACATACAATTACCCGTATGGTCCCGGAGTCCAGCAGTGAATTTCAAACAGATTCAACCACAAAGACCAGGGAGGTTTTATCAATACAACCAGTAACTACAAAGATACTGGCATCCTTTCTAACCACTCTGGGATTTCACAATGAGGACAATGGTGACTTTAGAACAGTTAAAGAGTTTAATGGCTGAGATAAAAGAAAATTGAGGATGGATCAACATTGTAGTTACTCCACTATACTAACCTAATTGACAGAATGAAAAGGAAGCCTGTACAGAATACAAATATTCAAAAACAAGCATCCTGTTTGCAACAAGGCACTTAAGAAATACTGCAAAAGAAATGGCAAAGCATTTCAATACAAAGTGTTAATGTTTGGGGCAAATCCAATACCACACATTACTGAGTAACACTCCATATTTTCAAGCATAGTTGTGGCTGCATCATGTTATGAGTATGCTTATATTTAAGGAATGGGGAGTTTTTCCAGGATAAATTTTTTTTTACTGAATGGAGCCAAGCACAGGCAAAATCCTAGAGGAAAACCTGGTTCAGTGTGCTTTACACCAGACACTGGGAGATGAATTCACCAGGACAATAACCTAAAACACAAGGCCAAATCTACACGAGTTGCTTACCAAGAAGACGGTGAATGTTCCTGAGTGGCAGTTACAGTTTTGACTTAAAGCTACTTGAAAATATATGGCAAGTAGGGTTGGGATATACGGTATTACCACCTAAGTACATAAGGGGGAGCCAAAAAATGTTTAAAAAAGCCCACTGGGCGTCTATTACCAGCATGACAACAAAATTAGCACAAGTAATAGCGAACTTCCATGGGGGCTTCTAGCTAAACATGCTAATGAGCGCAAACAAAAATAAACAAATTGCAAAGACAGGCAATCAAGCTCATAAAGTTATACATTTAATAGACAGGAGCTACCGAATGTCATTTTTGTTGAGTTTGGACATTTACAAGCGAATGTGAACGAGAGACATTGTGCAGATTAAGTGTTTTGACGCATGCTTGTCTGAAGGAAGAACAGTACTGGCGGCTCTGGAGCAGCATGTGTAGGCAGGGGGGGGTTCTTTGCTAACATATGGAATTGCTTTAAGATGGTCATACACCAAGGATAATTTAGATATTTGATTTTGTATTTTATGACCCCTTAAGGTATCAAATGAATATTTAAAAAAATATATTGGATGAGACATTGAATTTGCCATTACTGCTATTAGCCAATAGAAATTCATTGAATAACAGATTCACTACATGGAACAACAGTCACAAAAAAAAAGCTAAAGGAAGTTTGTTCTGAAGTGTCTGAGAGATAAGAAAGATCAGGAAACTATTTAGATTTTTTTCGTCATGTATTTATCCCCTTATTTTAGGTACTAAACCATCTCCATATATACTTCGATATTTTTTTCCAACTTGTACCGAGGACCTTTAGAGGAGTCTTGAGGCTTGTGGGCGTCCAATAGCAAAACGCCATCGTGTTCGTGAGAGTCTCATCTTTCAATAGAGTGGTCATACTACTTTGTAGGCCAAACCATTCGGACGCTACAGATGTTTTTGTGAGAAGACCGATTTCCGGGATGTCTAATGGTCTGACAAACACCCCTCTAGCTCTGCCACCTTTCAACGCAGATGCGGAAGGGCGATATCGGCAGATGTGGTAGATTGAGACGCAGCTTAGCTTAAAAACAGATTTTGATGGGGATTTTTATTATTATGTTAATTAGATTTCCGCGGGGCCACAGAAATTGTAGGCTACGGGTTCAAGGATAACAGTTCATAAGCAGTCATGCATGCGTGGTGGTGAAACCATTTTACACCTGATATCGGTATCACTACGCAACACATTCCAGGTGAATGAGGTCACAGCAGTGAGAAACTGGTGGACTGCCAACATGTGTGTTCAAGGAAAACTGGCACTCAGACAAATCAACAGATCCCACCAATTCCCTCTGCACCCTGTCTCAGACAATGACCCGGTGACTGTGAGTTCACCCAACATAAACACTGGCTGTCTGGACTGACAAACAGTTCACACGTGCAGAAGGAGTTGTTTTACACCCACCAATCATAACTCAAGAGAATTCCACTATGGTAAACCAAAGACATCACAAAATAAAAAGGTAACCATGAATGGTTGAGGTCTGGCCAATTGCTGTGCATAGGTGTTATAAAAAGTTGAGAAGCCAGGTTGAAAAAGTCTAATGGGCAATCAACTAGAAGGCATACACATAGTATACAAGCTACAACATCCATTCCTCAAAATATCTTCGTGACATAAGGTGGATACCATGCTCATCTCGTTTCTCATGCCAGTCACTGAGAAGCGGGTCACTTGCCTGACAGCTCCTCTGACAGTATGCTCAGTATTCTGCATGAATAAACAAACCACTCATATCGTTGCATGCCTCTTTTACTGAACACGATTGTTGCATAGTATACCGAAACTGTATACATGAAAAACTGTTCAGTACTAGAATGTTACTTTTGGTACTTTTGTCAAATGTGCTGCCCTGATCAAGCCTGTATATATCAGTGCAGCCAACCCCTTATTATAGCATGCACTGTGCCTATTCCACTTACTCACTGGCTGCATCATGTTAGCTCCCCACTCATACTGCACATAAGTTAATACACTTGAATAATGTGACACGGCATGTAGAAATGTTTAAACTTAATTACTGTTCGCAAAGCAATGTCCATATAGGCTATAACACTTTACAGTGCAAGAAGGTACCGGTAGCTTCTAGATTTGTAGGCTAACTTTCCTTGCTAGCATTGTTTGTGATAATACAGTACATTCGGAAAGTATTCAGACCCCTTGACTTTTTCCACATTTTGTTACGTTAGACTTATTCTGAAATGGATGAAATAGTTCCCTCCCCCTCATCATAAATCTATACACAATACCCCATGACAAAGCAAAACCAGGTTTTTAGAAATGTTTGCATATTTATTAAAAATAAACAGAAATACCTTATTTACATAAGTATTCAGACCCTTTGCTTTGAGACTTAGCTCAGGTGCATCCTGTTTCCATTATCATCCTTGAGATGTTTCTACAACTGGATTGGAGTCAACCTGTGGTCAATTCAATTGATTGGACATGATTTGGAAAGGCACACACCTGTCTATATAAAAGCTCCCACAGTGGACAGTGCATGTCAGAGCAAAAACCAAGCCATGAGGTCGAAGGAATTGTCCGTATAGCTCCAAGACAGGATTGTGTTGAGGAACAGATCTGGGGAAGGGTACCAAAACATTTCTGCAGCATTGAAGGTCCCCAAGAACACAGTGGCCTCCATCATTCTTAAATGTTTGGAACCATCAGGGCTCTTCCTAGAGCTGGCCGCACGGCCAAAATGAGCAAGGGCCTTGGTCAGAGAGGTGACCAAGAACCCGATGGTCACTCTGACAGAGCTCCAGAGTTCCTCTGTGGAGATGGGAGAACCTTCCAGAAGGTCAACCATCTCTGCAGCACTCCACCAATCAGGACTTTATAGTAGAGTGGCCAGACGGAAGCCACTTCTTAGTAAAAGGCATGACAGCCCACTTGGAGTTTGCCAAAAGGCACCTAAAGGGCACTGTCCATGAGAAACAAGATTCTCTGCTCTGATGAAACCAAGATTGAACTATTTGGCCTGAATGCCAAGCGTCACGTCTGTAGGAAACCTGGCACCATCCCTACGGTGAAGCATGATGGTGGCAGCATCATGCTGTGGGGATGTTTTTCAGTGGCAGGGACTGGGAGACTAGTCAGCATTGAGAGAAAGATGAACGGAGCCAAGCACAGAGAAATCCTTGATGAAAACCTGCTCCAGAGCGCTCAAGACCTCAGACTGGGGCGAAGGTTCACCGTCCAACAGGACAACGACCCTAAGCACACAGCCAAGACAACGTAGGAGTGGCTTTGGGACAAGTCTCTGAATGTCCTTGAGTGTCCCAGCCAGAGCACGGACTTGAGCCCAATCGGACATCTCTGGAGAGACATGAAAATAGCTGTGCAGCGACGCTCCCCATCCAACCTGACAGAGCTTGAGAGGATTGGCAGAGAAGAATGGGAGAAACTCCCCAAATACTGATGTGCCAAGCTTGTAGCGTCATACCCAAGAAGTCGAGGCTGTAATCGCTGCCAAAGGTGCTTCAACAATGTACTGAGTAAAGGGTCTGAATACTTATGTAAAATGTGATATTTAAGTTTTTTATTTATAGGAAATTTCAAAAAATGTATTTAAAAAACAGTTTTTGCTTTATCATTATGGGGTAGTGTGTGTAGATATGAGGGGGAAAACTACTTACTCAATTTCAGAATAAGGCTGTAACGTAACAAAATGTGGAAAAAGTAGAGGTGTCTGAATAGTTTCCTAATGCACTGTATGCAAACGCAAAATAAGCTGATTTCAAAGCTTATTGCCACCTAAATCTTTATTCATTAACTTATTTGGTATATCTCCCTCACATTTCTCCCAAAGATGATCTATGGAGAGAAATAGTAATGGCGTCTTTTTGTAGGCACCAACTCCGCCATGGTTCGTTGGACAAGTGCATCGCAGCGCTAGCTGCCACTAGAGATCCTGGTTCGAGTCCAGGCTCTGTCGCAGCCGGCCGCGACTGGGAGACCCATGGGCGGCGCACAATTGGTCCAGCGTCGTCCAAGGTAGGGGAGGGTTTGGCCGGCAGGGATGTGGGTTCGTTTCCCTGAGGGAAATTGTGTTTTTGTAGGGTTTTTAGATAACCGCTGAAAATAAGGTATTTGATAAACATGGGCTTAGGAGATCTTATAGGTTTTTTTCTATGAGAATCTTCATCAGCTAACATCACTGTGAATTTGTTATTTAAAAAAAGCACAGTTGTCATAATTCATAAAGGTCATGTTAACTGACTGGTATTATCTCATAGAACCAAACGTATAAGATCTAAGCCTGTGTTAACTTTAGACCTTATTTTCTGTGTTTATTCCGAAACCCTATTCTTTCCCCATAGGGATGGCTGAACGAACCAGATTCTAACTAATTTCCCGGTTTTAGGAGTACAAGCTGGTGAGCTCTATTGCCTCCGACAGGCCACTCCCCTCTTGCCTTGATGTCATTACTGGTTAAAAAGACAGCGCACATTTTTTTCTATGCAAATGTTGTTCAGTACAATAAAATAAGTCCAAAATATAAGGGATAATGGGGCTACAGATGACATCAGCAAAAACAAGCTCAATTACTAAATGCATGCACACACGCCTATTGAATACGCATTCACCTATATTGTGGCTATGCCTAGGCTACATCTTGAGTTACCCAGTTTATCAATAGAGATTGATCATTCAAATAAATGATAACCGTTATGTAGTTAGATTGTGATTGCCAAAGTCAAACTGATTGCATGATTGATTCATTAATGCATACATGGATGTCTGAAAAATGTACGTAAAAAATTATAATGTAATGATATTGAACTCAAAAGATGCCCAACAATTGAACAGAGCTGTAGCAGAGTTTATGTCTGCATCAAGTGCCATTATGTGACTGGTTAATATGCCATTTTGTTTTTACCATTGTATCGTTTTGGTACATTCTATCTTGATGGTATCAAGTATTGTGATACTAAACCTGGTAACGAAGTCCAAATTCTGTTACCGTGACAACAGTACATTTCAGTTGACTGGAGTGGAGACTTAAAGAGTATCACAGTATGAGTCATAATATCCATAAAACCTAGCAGCCATTAGAACCATTTCCCTGTTGGACAGCTAGGTTTTATGGGTATCATGACACCTCCAATGTGGGGCACTATTTGTTAAAGGGGCCTCTTTGCTGGGACTCCTACTGTGCACTGCGTGCCACTAGTTTACCACAGCTGTGGTGGCTGCCTAACACACTGAACCTCTGGCTGACACCAAGCCTCAGAGAGCAATAAGATACATTGTGTAATAGAGGAGTGTCATGAAGATATGTCCTGGCCATAAATAAATTAACACATTCAAGTCGAAATATGCAATTAAATGAAAACAGGTCTGCAGGGAGAGGGGGAGCATCGCACCTTAATTATAACTTCACACGCAGAAGGCTAGCTGAGGAAGGCTCAACTATGTTCTCTTATATTGAGGTGGAGTTGAGTTTTGATAACTGGTCACGGGATTTGCTAGCAACAACATTGAGTTACCATCAGTCGATTCTTGCAAAAATATCAATTCTGAAAACACTTACCTGTACCTGTTTGTCCTGTACAACTGCTGTCCTTCCGCAGGGTGGTGAAATTCATACTTTTAATATACATTTTTTTGCGAGATTCAATTGTATCCATGCTATCTGGGATCCTTTGTACGTCCCCATTGAAATTGACATTTTAAATGGTTATGTAGGAGTTCAGGTTAGGTAAGGGTTAAGCTATGGACGTCCCAGAGATCCCAAATTGCACTGGCCGATTCAATTGAGTTGAGCACCACAAATTAAGAAAAAGTCAGTGGTTGAATTCGACATTAGTTTTTATTAAAAGTATGAATTTGAAGCACACGCGAAATGACTGCAGTTGTACAGGACAAACATAGAATTTACATTTTTACATGAATCGACTGATGGTGGTGACTCAATGTTGTTGCTAGCAAATTGAGCAGTTATCGAAACTCAACTCCAGCCTCGACAGATTTGCGCGTTCCTCAACTAACAGAAGGCTATCCCTAGAAATGGGTTGACAGCAAATTCCAACGGTCATTAAATAAGGGGGCATGTTTCAACTGAAGCATGGCATGTATAGATACTATATATATATATACACATTTAAATCAACTAAAAAGCAGGTTATACAAGTTGCATTGAAATGTAAACACATACAGGGCCCAAGACGCATGATTTATTGTTTCTGATAATTATTTGTGTACTTATTTGACATCTTTGCTGCACTGTTAGGAGCTAGTAACAAGTATTTCGCTGCACCCGCAATAGCATCTGTGAAACTGTGTACACGACCACTAAACTTTGATTTCATTACAAAAACACCACCGAGGCTTACATGTCATTTTGACAGGTACAAACGTCCACAGCATAACAAGGCCACGTGCGTAGCCAACACTTGCTGGGACATGAAACATTGGGGGTAAAGCCAAATATTAGCCTAGGTGGCATGAAAAATACACATTGTAATCAGCCAATCATATGATAATTAAAAGTAAAGCAAAACAGTGGACCAAGTAGTGATTGCTCTCATCCATCCGTTGGCTAATACTTCAGCATGTGAGTCAATACATAGTTTGCGTGCACGCTTAGGTAGCTTTGTTTAATCTAAAAACAGGGACCTTCTCTATGCAAGGCACGCAATGTTTTAATTTTTCCGCCAGTATCGTCTTCACACAGGCACATAAATAATTTCTGATCATTAGCTCCCCCTTGCACCCGTCCTTTGCCATTACGCCGACAGACAAGGCCCATCCCAAAGACTGTCAACAAAATGTCGGATTCACGGGAGTCACGTGATTCCTTTGTACTTAGAAAATAATCTCCAGCGAAAACAACCAACTAAAACCAGAATATCGAATAATATATATAAATAATTCATCTTTAGTGATCTGGAAAATGTATTCATTTATTGTTAGCACGGTATCTACACCACATTTTCGTCGTCTTTTTTAACATAAAATGTGCGGCCATTTTGTGCTAACATGCGCAGAAAAAAAGAGGAGATCCTCAAAATATTAAAATAAGGAGAAATGTTTATTTGCAGATTTTCGAACTATAAAACATACCGATTCCTCTTCTTTCTCCATCCCCGTCGGCATCTGCGGCACTGCCCGGTTAATAGATGCATATTCGTGCAGGTCGGGTAAATCCTCACAACGGAAGACGGGTAGTGGCTTGGAAGCGTCCAGCGCCCGTGCCCGAAACGATAATTTACTCATTTTTTAAAATTCGAGATGCAACATAAATCTATCCGATCTCCTTAAATTCACATCGGTTTCGAGTTGTGCTTTCATGGATGAATCTGTGCGTTATTCTGACATCTACGGTTCGACTGATTGAAGCTAAATTTAGGGCGTCGCGAACGGAGCCGGGAAGGCCCGGATCTTGGTCGCTCTCTTTCGGTCTTTTTTTCAGAGGCTTCGCTGTCTATCGGTGGTTCAGTACGCCATGGCCAACATGGCGGACATTAAAAACTCTTTAACGCTCCGTTCGCTCAAAGCAGCCCAACCCACCGATCATCGAACAGCCATTCCCACACGGTCCCGAGCGCGTGCGCGTTCGCGACGGTGGGGGACGTGCCCCCCAAATCTAAACATGTCAAATAAAAGATTTACATCAAGTAGCTAACTATTATACGTTTCAGGTTAAATTTGGAATGCAATGACAAAAGGGGCATTGACACTACAACAGATTATTTCGCTGAATGTCCCTAATTGGTTGCACTCTAAATAGCCTACATTGCCTAATTCATCATCAGTGACTAATAATTCTGAATTATTGTCTCTAACATTAGACTTGGTGTATTATCATGCACCTTTTATCCTTCACTTTTGTTACGAGTAATTTGAACATTGAGGGGGGCTGTTAGTAAATTTGATAAAATATGTTGGGATTTGAAGACATGGATAATAACTAACAAACCATACATGATGATACATTTGCATTACTATGCTCTAGCATGATACCAAATATTTGAAGTCGTTTTGCTGTATCTTGCTGATGCAAAGCCAAGCATAGCTCTTAAAAGTTTAAACAAAAATATAAAACCCTTGAGTCTTAAACTACAAGTGTTATTTGAAAATAACCAAAGTATAATGTAAAATGTAAAATATACTAATTTACTAGACTCACTAAATTACTAGTCTAATTAAAAAAATTAATTTAAAAAAATTAAAAAAACTAGTCACTACCAGTAAGGTGAATTGAACAGCTTCTGAAAATATTTTCAACGTTTGACAATGTTGCCCTCTTGTGGTGTGATCAACCCTAGAACTGTGGCCCTCTGCAACCGAACTGTGTGGTCCTCTGTTGACCTGTGTGTGTGTCCCATAGTAATTCAACAGTGGAGGCAGCTGAGGGGAGTAGGGCTCATAATAATAGCTGCAACAGCGCGAATGGAATGGCATCAAACGCATGGAAAACATGTGTTTGATACCATTCTGCTCCAGCCATTACCACGAGCTCGTCCTCCCCAATTAAAGTGCCACCAACCTTGTGTGTAATTCAAATATTTGGAAATGATAAGAACCTCAAAACAAAGGGTTCCGGTGCCATAAGTTAGTAAGCCTTGTCCGAGCCAGAATGGTCAATAAGGCTAGTCTGGCTGACACCAAACTCGAAGTCTTCCCGCCTTCACAGTCTAAAGGCTCCTTGATGTTGTAGGAACAATGTGTAGATAATGAAGGGGGCTGTGCTTTACTGATTGGTTATCCTGTGCCTCTCACTCACACACCCACACAGCACCCAAGCCCCACCTCCTAATACAACGAGAGGTTTAAAAAACGATTAGATTAACGTTTGAGAAAACCAACCAAAGCTCAAGCCAATTTCACTGCTAATATTGCACCATCAACGGGCTCCTGTCCAGACAAATGTGTCACAGCTCTGCTTTGCTGTGTACCATGTGGGACGCATCAGCCATGCTACCATAGGGCAGGAGCCCATCTCCTGTTTCTGTAGTGTGAGGCAGCTTAATGTACAAGTACACCCCCTGGACAGGATGCTAGTCTCTCTGTGCCTTACCCCAATACTTCCTGAATGCCAAGCCGAGAGGCATCTGGTGCTTTACTAAAGCCCATATTATAAGGACATTCTCTGGGCTTACCTACAGTAATGGCAGACGTCGCGTCTAGCCAGGGTCCAAGAGTTGTAGGTTCCACTCAGCGTCAACCATTACAAAAGAAGGCATCATTGGGATCTGAGTGGGAATAAAAAAACAGCTCGTCATTCCTTTGAGTGTAGGTAATTAAAGGGGTCATCATGTTGATAGGACTAGGATAGTGTTTCCAATTGCAAAGAGCAACTGAAATCATAACGTGCCTCAGATGAGGAGTGCTTGGGTGTATTCATTGCTCAGATTCTGTTGCAAAACATTGTCTGTTGCAAAATGTTTTGCAACAACTGTTTTCTCTAGGAACCAAACTGGGCAAACTGTTTTTCAGCAGCAGGGACTGGGAGACTAGTCACGATTGAGGAAAAGATTAACGGAGCAAAGTACAAAGACCCTTGATGAAAACCTGCTCCAGAGCGCTAAGGGCCTCAGACTGGGGCAAAGGTTCACCTTCAAACAGGACAATGACCCTAAGCACACAGCCAAGACAACACAGGAGTGGCCCAGCCAGAGTATCCATCAGTATCCTGGATGGATATCGATCTCGTTCCATCAGTAGAGGATGCCTTGTTGTTCTTTAAAAGTGCTTTCCTCTCAATCTTAAATAAGCATGCCCAATTCAAAAAATACAGAACTAAGAACAGATATAGCTTGACCAGCACAAAAACATCCTGTGGCGTACTGCATTAGCATCGAACAGCCCCCGCGATATGCAACTTCTCAGGAAAGTTAGGAACCAATATACACAAGCAGTTAGGAAAGCAAACAGTAATTTGCATCCTGTAGCACTAACTCCAAAAAGTTTTGGGACACTGTAAAGTCCATGGAGAATAAGAGCACCTCCTCCCAGCTGCCCACTGCACTGAGGCTAGGAAACACAATCACCAACGATAAATCTACAATAATCGAGAATTTCAACAAGCATTTTGCTACGGCTGGCCATGCTTTCCACCTGGCTACCACTACCCTGGCCACCAGCTCTTCGTAACGTCTGAGATCCCCAGAGATTGGAAAGCTGCCGCGGTCATCCCCCTCTTCAAAGGGGGTGACACTCTAGATCCAAACTGTTACAGACCTATATCCATCCTGCCCTGCCTTTCGAAAGCCAAGTTAACAAACAGATCACCGACCATTTCGAATCACACCGTACCTTCTCCGCTATGCAATCCGGTTTCCACGCTCAAGGTCCTAAACGATATTTTAACCGCGATCGATAATAGACAGTACTGTGCAGCCGTCTTCATCGACCTGGCCAAGGCTTTCGACTCTGTCAACCACCGCATTTTTATTGGCAGACTAAATAGCCTTGGTTTCTCAAATGACTGCCTCGCCTGGTTCACCAACTACTTCTCAGATAGAGTTCAACGTGTCAAATCGGAGGGCCTGTTGTCTGGACCTATGGCAGTCTATGGGGGTGCCACGGGGTTCAATTCTTGGGCAGACTCTTTTCTCTGTGTATATCAATGATGTCGCTATTGCTGCTGGTGACTCTCAGATCCACCTCTATGCAGACGACACCATTTTGTATACATCTGGCCCTTCATTGGACACTGTTAACAAACCTCCAAACGAGCTTCAATGACATACAACACTCCTTCCGTAGCCTCCAACTGCTCTTAAACACTAGTAAAACTAAATGCATGCTCTTCAATCGAACACTGCTGGCACCCGCCCACCCAACTAGAATCACTACTCTCGACGGGTCTGACCTAGAGTATGTGGACAACTACAAATACCTAGGTGTCTGGTTAGACTGTAAACTCTCCTTCCAGACTCACATTAAGCATCTCCAAAGTTAAATCTAGAATCGGCTTCCTATTTCGCAACAAAGCCTCCTTCACTCATGCTGCCAAACATGCCCTCGTAAAACTGACTATCCTACCGATCCTTGACTTTGGCAATGTCATTTACAAAATAGCCTCCAACACTCTACTCAGCAAATTGGATGTAGTCTATCACAGTGCCATCCGTTTTGTCACCAAAGCCCCATATACTACCCACCACAGTGACCTGTACGCTCTTGTTGGCTGATCCTCACTACATATTCGTCGCCAAACCCACTGGCTCCAGGCCATCTATAAATCACTGCTAGACAAATCCCTGCCTTATCTTAGCTCATTGGTCACCATAGCAACACCCACCCGTAGTATGCGCTCCAGCAGGTATATCTCACTGGTCATCCCCAAAGCCAACACCTCCTTTGGCCGCCCTTCCATCCAGTTCTCTGCTGCCAATGACTGGAACGAATTGCAAAAATCTCTGAAGCTGGAGACACTTATCTCCCTCACTAACTTTAAGCATCAGTTGTCAGAGCACCTTACCGATCACTGCACCTGTACACAGCCCATCTGAAATTAGCCCACCCAACTACCTCATCCCCATATTGTTATTTATTTTGCTCATTTGCACCCCAGTATCTCTATTTGCACATCATCTCTTGCACATCTATCATTCCAATGTTAATACTAATTGTAATTATTTTGCACTATGGCCTATTTATTGCCTTACCTCCATAACTAGCTACAGTTGCACACACTGTATATATATTTTCTGTTGTATTTTTGACTTTGTTTTGTTTTACCCCATATGTAACTCTGTGTTGTTTTTATTACACTGCTTTGCTTTACCTTGGCCAGGTCGCAGTTGTAAATGAGAACTTGTTCTCAACTGGCTTACCTGGTTAAATAAACTTTTTTTTTAAATTATAGAGGCTAACATTGACGATAGTATCTTCTGGTCGGGGGAGTTTAAAGTTCTGAACGTTAAAACACATCGCTTGTGGTACGGGTTTGGAAACATGAGTAACGTATCTTTCATCTCAGCGAGAATTTAAAAAAAAGTTAAATTACTACACACACCTTTATTGGGTTAGTGTTCCCACATGGCCATATCTCCATGTTACATTGCTTGTTTACGGAAGACATAGGCGGCCACCTGTGCTAATTAGCGCCGAACACCTGTGTGTAAACGTAACTGGGGAAGAAGTGTAATTCATCAACTGGAGGCACACAGCTTATGTATCTGAGTAAAACTGCTACTGTAAGTGATTTTATATATATTTTTTTAAAGATGATTTCTCGCTGATATGAAAGATAAGGAGAATATCAGCATATTTCGAAAATCGGTTTGAAAGCGACGATTGACGTTTTGAAACGTTAACACTGAGTTGGAATTGTAGTTCACATAGCGAATGTAACCGCTGAAAACCCTACATACGGAGAAGGGTTTTCGAAAGCTAGGACAAGCAGTGGTGTAAAGTACTTAAGTAAAAATACTTTAAAGTACTACTTAAGTAGGTTTTTTGGGCATCTGTACTTTATTATCTAAATTTGACAACTTTTACTTAACTACATTCCTAAAGAAAATAATGTACTTTTTACTCCATATAATGCACACACTTATCAATAGAACATCCATGGTCATCCCTACTGCCTCTAATCTGGCGGACTCACTAAACACACGTTTCGTTTGTATATGACGTCTGAGTGTTGGAGTGTGAGCCTGGCTATCCATTAATTTTTTTAAACATTTTTTTTAATGGTGCAGTCTGGTTTGCTTAATATAAGCAATTTGAAATGATTTATACTTTTACTTTTGATACTTTAGTATATTTAAAACAATACTTTTAGACTTTTACTCAAGTCATATTTGACTGGGTGACTTTCACTTAAGTTATTTTCTATTAAAAAGGCATCTTTACTTTTACTCAAGTATGACAATTGGGTACTTTTTCCACCACTGAGGACAAGCCTAGTGTTTTGTCTCTGACATCCAGGTGCCAGGGCTAGTAATAATCTGATCAAGCCACTCCACTGATTTATTCTGTTACTTACCTACATTCCAAACAACTTGGCATTAGCCAACAATTCAAATATGAATGTGCAGTTCCTTTGTAGACCACTGGTAGTTGGCTGGCACTGTTAACTATCAAATATTGCCTTCCTTACCAAGCTAGAACATGACAATTAGTGGTTATAAATGTATAAGCCAATTCACAAAATAATTGTACAGTTTACACCAGATTTAGGTATGACACGTTGAGGTCATGAATTTGGTCTGTAACTTAACGTTAGCTGGCTTTCTTTCTGACTCTTTCGACTATAAAAAATACATGTAGCATTTCGCAAGTCAGAACAACATTTGAAAGCAAACGACAATTTATAACGCTTAATCGCAAACCAAACTAAAAACGTTAGCTAGCTTCCAAGCTAAAAATGGAGCTGGTTGGCGACTGTAACGTTAACGTAGCTAGTTACTAGTAGCCTAGCTTGCTGATTGACTTGACATGAGTCATGACATCGGTGGTTGGCCAACTTAACATTAGCCATTCAATTTAATTGTGACGATAGCTAGCTAACTATCCTGCAAACAAGACGATTTTCACACAACAGTTGTTTCGATCAGTTATACAAAGATATCTGAAAAACCTACCATAAAATTGACTCCAGGATGGGTGATAACATTTCTGATGATCATGAGTGATTCCCCAAAAGCCAAGGACAGACGCTGGCGTAAGTGTAACGTTATCGTTTTGCAAACGCCATGCAGTAAAATACTCATGAGACGTCATTCCGCTTTTTGTTAGAAAAATAAAAATCGTATTTCTCTTGATCGTATCGGAAAGCCTCTCGCCGTCGAACTAATACGGTATTGAGATCAGATAATTAGAATTGTTATTTTCAAGAAGATTAGCTAGCAAAACTAGGAGAAGTGTTATTGTTGGGGGTTAACAACTTTGCAATAGAAGACGCATCCTGATTGGTCGGAGGCTGGCACCAATCACCTGTAGAGAGCAATGAGGTAGAGAACACTGGGTTGGATGAGCTCACGCTCAAAAACGAGAAAGTTCCATCTGTTGTACACGGTATTCTATACCCTCTATGTATTACCTTGGGAATAGACCACCTAACATACAAGATTGAAACAGACACAGAAACGCAGTCTTTTTCAATTGCAGTACGGAAATGATGATTATCTTCTTTGCATGCTGCCTGACTGCAGGTTGGGGTAGGGAGGGATGTCAATCTGTACACTACTTACCTCGACATAAATCAGTGAAAAAAATAAAATTATTTATTTATTAATTCTTTGATGGAACTATTCACAAAACTAAAAACAAATGAACAAGAAATACCCACTGACGTCAGACCTCTTTTGCAAGGGAGACATTTTAATAACACAACAGAAAACTAATTTCAACCATTGGGCATTCTCCCAACCTACATTGGAGCCAAGCTTCCAACTCCTGATACCAATGTTCAGCACCAACTGTGTCCTGTGGAATGGACTTGTTCCCCCCTGGCTACAGTGGCAGTGCTGATGCCATATGACTCCAGTATCTGCAATGCTCATCACTCATTAGGCAGTGCAGCAGCAGCAAGACTGCAAGTGCAGTCATCTGAAATCAGTGGCAGCTGTATTTCTGTTGTTCAGATCAGGAGACACTATCCTGAGATTTATTCGGAGTTGGAAAATGCATGAATTGGCAAAGATAACAGGTGAAATGCATCTGTTAAACTGTAGAAAACATGTGGGTAGCATAAGATGAGCAGTGAGTTGAAAGCTGGATCAGAGGCCTAGGCCACAGTGAGCAAAACATTCCTTGGCCATTGTAACCGTGGCTACATTCCACTGGTATCTCTTTCTAACAATAAGATAAAGCAAGGACACATGACACAATAATTAACACACACATGCAGTATGTAACAATGTTGGGGTAATTTGTTTTGGAACTTTAATAAATAATTTCAGAAATAAAGTAATGCAAAATGTGGATGAAATAAAAAGGCACTTTAAAAACAGTGTGGCGATTGTGTTCTTACAACTAAGTGGGATGTTTGAAATACAACAAAGATCTGAATGACATCACTCCCTTAACACTGATCTTTATAACTGAAATGTAATGTAGTCACCATTATCCAATGGAAGAGTTTGATCAAACCATTAATTAGAAAATATAATTATTCGACAGTAAAACAAAAAAGCACGCTGAGGATATAGGTCAAGTAGAAAACCATTCAGAACCCCATTCAGAATTCAATTTCTGTAACTTAAACAAGACAATTAAAACAAGGCATATTGTTTACAAACAAGGCAGTGAGTTCTGTAATATTTGGCATCGCTATTAATTAAGAGTTTATTAGGGACCTGAGTTCTTTAAAACTAAACAATTTAAACCTGGATCCCATAATACTACTAATGATGTCATTTTATTTATAAAGATTTACAAATATCATGACAATATCTTTAAAAAAGAAACATTTAAATTGATTGTTCAGGTTGAAGAATAAATTGATAAACATAACTTTCCTTCCAGCCCTTTTCTGTGACTAAAATATGGCTTTACACAGAATCCATTTCCTACAAACTGTACATATTACAATTTATTGCTGTCCCCAATGGCCAGCTATCGCTACATATCTTGTCCCACATCGACATCCAATTTCACCCTCAAAACAGAAATAATGGCTCCACGGTTCTATGAAAGGCACAACCACACCTTCAATGACCTTGCCAGTCCTGTGGCAAAAATTAATTCAGTTAAAACATTCCGTCAAGTTACACAAAAAAGTAAAAACCCAAGTTTATACATACTGTACACTTTTTTCAATTCAAACGATGCATAGAAAAAAACGGTTAGTAAAACATACTGAAAGTGGCAAAATGCACTGCTATCATTTGGTGACTACAAAAACAAACCGTGAACATAACAACCCCCCCCCCCCCCCCATATTATTTTGCATACAGTGTTGTAATGACAGAGAGGATGCGCCATCATTTGCCCTCGTATTTTGGATTGACAATAGTTGTTACGGCACTCTTGTAGATGGGATTCTCACCCTGCAAAAGACAAGTAAAGAGAGAGAGTGAGATAAACGGTATTCATGGATACATTGTCTTTGTCCCAAATGGCAGCCTATTCCCTATATAGTGCACTACTTTCGACCAGGGACCTTAGGTGCCATTTGGAATGTAGCCCAAAAAGGGAATCATTTGGTTAGAACCACTTCACAAATCCCTGTTTGGTTAAAAATAATTCCAGAGCAGCACGTCTCCATTTGGACACTACGATTTTCAACATTTCAATAGGGACTTGCGAACAAAGCAGTCACCTGTCCTTTAATCTAGCATGTTAATGGCACACACAACATGCGGTAAAATACATGTTTAACCTTAACCTTAAGCCATTTCAAATAAGGCAGCGTGAATTTGATAGATGTTGGTGGGGTCGCCCCAAAGCTATAGACCACGTTGTTTAAAAAAAATATATATATATCCTGTTTTATTAAAAGTGATTAATTTCTTAGACAAATGTGTTCTTCAGGTTGGCTCAGGCAGTACCAGAAACTTTAAACTCACTACTGAAATGAGAAAACAGTTCTCTTACAGCTTTTGCTTTGAAGAAGTTGAATATCTGTTTCTTTCTTAAGAATGCAAATATGAGTGAAAATGGGTGAGGAAAAGATGCAAAACTCAATCACAAAACACTCCAAGGGGAAAATAAAGTACATGCAGGAAAAGGGAAGATAGATAGGCAATACAAACGTAGACTTATAGGACCACTCCTTTACGCCCATAGCTTGGATTCTGGAACTTATTAATAGGGCTCTTGTATATAGGATTCTCTTGCTATGGTCGACAATGAGGCAGACAGGGGTTCAAGAAAAGAAGAACAAGAAAGAGCATGAAAAGAAAGTAAGCAGTAAAAGATGACAGGATGGAGAGAGTAATGGTTTTGAGGGACTGCAAGAAAGCAGAAAAGGTTTACCAACAAGGGTCTATCCATATTTCAGAATACAAACACGTGTATGTGACAAATACAATGTGATTTGATATCCAACCCCAATGGTTTAGCAATAGCCATGCTCTTGAGACTGAGGGTGCATCCCAAATAGCACCCTATTCCATTTATAGTGCACTACCACTACTTTTGACCAGGGCCCAAAGGGGCTCTGGTCAAAAGTAGTGCACTATATAGGGAATATGGTGCCATTTGGGACTCGACCAGAGGCTATATTCTCTCTCAGCTGTGCACTCTCTCAGCACACAAGTGCTCTGTCATTCTACTATAAACATTAAATACTGTTGCTATGACTTTCAGAGCACACTGAGCAGCTGGATTGAGCTTTCTTCTGTTGGTGACCCAGCACACCCTCTCCCTCAGCTTCATTGCCTATTATGGGCATGAAGTACTGATGAGTGGACAGATAGTGGCAGCACTCCTAGCCTAGCCAGCAAAAGGCCCATAGAGGAAAGGCCACTCCCTCAGTGAATTAAGTCTGTCTGAGGCTGAGCAGCACGCCAGAGCCATGTTTCTGTGCTGCCGTTGTTGGCACAAAACAGAAAAGAAAACAGGAGATTGAGCCAAAGAGATAAACAAGGCACAAATATAACGGTTGGTTTTCGCACAGATCTCCCTTTGGCCTTCAAAGGCAATGAAGTGCATCTCTTGAGATAGGAGTAAAAGTAATGCTGGATGAACGAGCTGAAATCACAAACAGTAAGCTAATATATATAGGCGTTAGTTAATTTAGGACAGAAAGTCATCTCACATTTCAAGAGTAGACCAGGGGCCATTTCATCAAGTGTCTCTGAATAAGAGTGCTGATCTAGAATCAGGACCCCTGTCCATGCAATCTTATTCATTGTGATCTAAAAGCAAAACTGATCCTAGATCAGCACTTCTACTCGCAGACACTTTATGAATGCAACCCCAGATATCTGAACAGTGGAGAAAAAAGAAAAAAATCACAGCTAATATAAAAAGTTAATATTCTTATCTGAAACCTGGCTGTGCTGATGTGATCCGACAGGATGCCTTACCGTGTCCCATTTGGCGTTCATCTTCTCCTTCTCGAACTTGGCGAACTCCCTGCGGTCGTGGATGATCATGAGCAGCTTCCAGATGAGCAGCAGGGCCAGGCCGATCAGCACAATGCCCGCCACCACGCCAGCCACGATGGGGATGATGTCAGGGCCCGCTGGGCACTCTGGAGCACAGCAGGGAACACGCATGGCAACATTATGCATTTACAGTTAATCATATACAATGGACAATCACATACAATGGACTATGTAGTTGTGTTTTGAAAGGCATCTGCCAAATAAAGTTTATAATTATTATAGGCCTACACTTTGGCTGTGACCCAAATGGCACCCTATTCCCTTTGTAGTGCACTACGTCATTTTGTAGTGCACTACTTTTGACCAGAGATTATAGGGCCCTGGTCAAAAGGTGCCATTAGGGACACGGCCTGTAAAATGCCATACAGACTTGGAGCCATTAGGGCAGGCTATTCCTAAAATGGACGATCAAAGATATTTGCTCCTCTGAGTGGTGCAGCACCCTCCATCCACTCACCCAGAGTCTCGACCACGTAGACCTCCCTCACTGTGTCGTTCCTGACGGCGTAGGTGTAGTAGAACCAGCAGTCGTTGGCGTCCCTCTCCTTACAGTGTGATAGGGGGTAGGACTGGTCGGCTGGCTGGGGCAGCTTGTCCCTGTCCTTCACTCTGATCAGATTGAAATAGCTGCAGTCCCTCTCACACGTGTCCTTCTTCTCTCCCGTCTCAAAAGCCCGGCACTGAACACACTCCCTTTTAGAGAGAGGACAACATGGTCAGGCTACGGCCACACAGATAGGTATGAAGACAAATGAAAACTGTTTTATCATAGTCTGTTTTTTTATAGGTTATCCATACCCACAACGCCCTGTCAGCATTGTGGGTGGTTGATACCAGAGATATAGAGCCATTGTTATCTATGGTTAAAACCCTGAGCGGGGACTCACTTGTGCTCAGTGCAGACTCCGGGGCAGGTGGGGCAGATCTCACAGGTGGGGCCCTGGAACTTGGGGTTGGTGCACTTGCAGACACCACACTCGCAGGTGCCCCGGCCATTACATATTTGCTTGTTGGCTGCCAAGCAGGTGGAGGTGTCCAGGGAACAGTCGCAGGCGCTGCCTGTGTAGTTGGCATCGCAGATACACACCCTGCAATCACAACGCCCATGTCCTAGTAGAGTGGAGGAGAAAATAAGATATTTAAATCAATGCTAGGCCTACACAACGCAACCATCCATTTTGAAGAATCATCCAATCTAAAAAAAAAAATTTTGTAGACCATGCCTGAGGAAAGAGGTGGAGAAAATGGAGGATCCATGATATTCAGTTCATTTGCAAAATATTCAGACCCCTTCCCTTTTTCCACATTGTGTTACGTTACAGCCTTATTCTAAAATGTATTAAATTAAAAATTTCCCTCATCAATCTACACACAATACACCATAAGTGACAACAGTTTTAAAAAAAATGTACATAAGTATTCAGACCCTTTGCTATTTGACTCGAAATTGAGCTCAGGTCCATCCTGTTTCCATTGATCATCCTTGAGTTGTTTCTACAACTTGATTGGAGTCCACCTGTGGTACATTTAATTGATTGGACATGATTTGGAAAGGCACACACCTGTCTATATAAGGTCCCACAGTTGATAGTGCACGTCTGAGCAAAAACCAAGCCATGAGGTCGAAGGAATTGTCCGTAGAGCTCCGAGACAGGATTGTGTCGATCCACTCCTCAGTAAAAGGCACATGAAAGCCCGCTTGGAGTTTGCCAAAAGGCACCTAAAGGTCTCTCAGACCATGAGAAACAAGTTTCTCTGGTCTGATAAAACCAAGATTGAACTCGTTGGCCTGAATGCCAAGCGTCACATCTGGAGTAAACCTGGCACCATCCCTACGGTGAAGCATGATGGTGGAAGCATCATGCTGTGGGATGTTTTTCAGCAGCAGGGACTGGGAGACTAATCAGAATCAAGATGAACGGAGCAAAGTACAGAGAGATCCTTGATGAAAACCTGCTCCAGAATGCACAGGACCTCAGACTGGGGCGAAGGTTCACCTTCCAACAGGACAACGACCCTAAGCACACAGCCAAAACAATGCAGGAGTGGCTTTGGAACAAGTCTCTGAATGTCCTTCAGTGGCCCAGCCAGAGGCCGGACTTGAACCCGATCTAACATCTCTGGAGAGACCTGAAAATAGCTGTGCAGCAACGCTCCCCATCCAACCTGAAAGAGCTTGAGAGAATCTCCAGAGAAGAATGGGAGAAACTCCCCAAATACAGGTGTGCCCAGTTTGTAGCAACATACTCAAGGAGACTCGAGGCTGTAATCGCTGCCAAAGGTGCTTCAACAAAGTACTGAGTAAAGGGTCTGAATAGTTATGTAAATGTGATTTCAGTTTTTTATTTTTTATAAATTTGCTAACATCTCTAAAAAACCTGTTTTTGCTTTGTCATTATGGGGTAGTGTGTGTAGATTGATGAGGAAAAAACAATTTAATCAATTTTAGAATAAGGCTGTAACATAACAAAATGTGGGAAAAGTCAGGGGGTCTGAATACTTTCTTTTTAAAACACATTCTTACAGTACACAGCAGTGTTGAATGAATACAATGTCTACGAAAACATGCATACACCTAGTCAAACCAAGAGGGCCAGCCAAGGGTCCTACCTCCACAGAGTTTGTTGTTGGAGCGGTCACAGTTGAAGTTGTCACACTCGCAGAATTTCCCGCTGTACCGTTCCTCGGGGTTCTCCCTCTTCTTACACTCACAGGTTCCACACACACAGTCTCCGTTGTTGCTGCAGATGTCTGTACCGTTGTCTTTCCGACAGTTACCGTCCAGGTCATCGGTCCTCACCTCGTCTGTGCTGCACTCACACAGTCTGCCGATACGTCCCTCATTGCACCTGAGACAAAGCAAGATCATATTCATTAGTGCACATCGAAGCAAAAAATGTCACTACGGAAAACGAAAACAAGCGTTTCTTATTGGATAAATGAATGTAGAACCTTCCCCTTTTGGTCCCTTTTCTTCCTTTGGATCCTAGTGAATATGACTTGTATAGATTCAGAAGAACATTACTACAATCGATTCACACCCGAAAATCAGAACCCATACCAGTGTTTTATGTTGTGCCTACCTGCAGGCTCCACACTCAAAGGTACCGTTGCCGTTGTGGCAGCTCTTGCTGAGAGGTTCTCCGTCTTTGGAACATTCACATTCGCAGATGAAGTTGAGGACGATCTCCACATCCTCATTGAAACCCAGCGGCTTGATCCTAATGGTCTCGGACTTGCCTTGAGACGGACACTTCTGAGACTCGATGGTAATGTCAAAGGACACCTTGGTGATTCGATGATTGATAGAAAGCATTAGTAAACTCCTGGAGACAGGTCTTGAGAAAGGCTTCTGAGCTGAAACGTTGACAAATGGTCAACGATATTCCCTCTTCTTGTTTTTCATTAGCAAACTCCTAAAATGTCTTGGATAGTTTACTAATTTTTCTAAATGTATTACATTTACAAATGTAAATTCTCCACCACTTTTCCAATAGTGACTAGACCACCAAGGAAAGGCAGCGCTCGCGCTCACTTACCTCATCTCCAATGGAGATGTTAGAGCATTTTCTTCCACCCTCTTCTGTTCCAACCACGCCATTCTTGCAGATGGACTTGTATTTTATGGACACACCTTCAGGCACCTTGTTGTTCTCCAGAATGACTTCAGATGAAAGAGACTACCAAACATACAGAGAATGTTAACCAAATATGTCAATAGAAAAACAGTAGGGCTGTGTCCCAAAGGGCACCTGGTCAAAATAAGTACACTATATAGGGAATACGGTGCCATTTGGGACGCACCCCAGGTATTTATTTTCTGCACAGTAATTATTAGCTTCACATCAAACAGCCATTCCAAGTCAAAGCTAGCGTCAAAGCGAGGGGGTTAACTCACATTGTAAGAATCGATAATGAGCTTGATGACGTTGCTGGAGTTGGAGGACAGGGTTCCTACTGCTGACTTGGGGATGAGATTCTTCAGTTCCTTATAAACCGGCTGAAATTCCTCAGTAACAGCAAAAATTGTCTGAATGTTGTTGTCGCTCAGTTTCTGGACCAAATGGGCAATGGAGGGATAGTCCTGTTAATTGAAAAGAAATTCAAGATTAAAATGTCAAAACAAACATCCAACGATCCATACCACAGAGACATGAGCCAGTCATGCAGCATGTTATACCATATATGATAACCTTACTGTCCGTTTACATGGAAATTCATTTTGTGAGGTCAGCATACAAAATACACAAAATCAATAAACTATAATGCAACAAATGCAATACAAAATGCCTGGAAGGTATAGAGTATATAGTATACAGAGAAACACATACGTAGTAATGGCTCATGGTGTACATATTGTTTTCCAGATGACACTTTCCATCGTTGGGCAGAACGATGCCGCCCAGTTTGCCGTCTCCAGCAAAGTGGAAGCCAGCGTCAGTGGAGAACACCAGCAGACGAGTGACATTCCTCCAGCCAATGGCATCCTGCAGGGGGAGGGACAGAAACAAATACAATCAATTAGAGCTCCCGAAAAATAACAAAACATTTATTGGAATGCTTTGCACTAGGGCTAAACCTATTTAGTCGACTGGTCGATTGTTTGGTCGATAGGCTGTTGGTCGACCAAGATTTCTTTTGTCGAGCAGTAGCAAAAAAAAAAAAAAAAGAAGGTGTATAAGACACTTGTCTGATTGGCGCCTGTCTGAGTGGACTGATCCATTGTGGTGGCCATGGGGATGGCACAGTCCATCAGTCTAAGACATTTGCTACTGAAATTCTATATGGTTATATTATGTAAAAACAATGGTGCAAAATAATATTATTTTATAACAAATGCGCTTTCTCCCGCGTTGGTTAGTGGTCACTGTCCGCGGTTCTGAAAGACATCAGTGCGCTGTTGAATTGACGCCTTTTCCTAGACCATGTTGCTATGTGCATAATAGCAAAGTTAACCAGCATATTGGTGTTGAGAACAATGTGGCGGAGGCAGCAGTGGAGTTAGGAGACGAAAACAGCCCTTGCCTTAATTGTCTAAGAAAATTGAGGAGAGCGGAAACCAATAATCAATAGCCTAACTATTGGTGCTTCAACAAAGTCCTGAGTTAAGGGTCTGAATACTTATGTAAATGTCATATTTCAGGTTGTTCTTTTGAATAAATTAGCAAAATGTTCTAAAAACCTGTTTTTGCTTTGTCATTATGGGGTATTGTGTGTAGATTGATGAGGGGGAAAAACAATTAAATAAATCTTAGAATAAGGCTGTAACGTATCAAAATGTGGAAAAAGTCTTAGGGGTCTGAATACTTTCCGAATGCACTGTATATAGGCTACTGTATCAATCGATCATGTATTCGTTCATGTCATCACACAGCATAGGAGTCATTCATGATTTTAAATGCGATCAAGAATTTTTGTTTCAAAAGAAAATAAAGCAAACATTGAATATTTCACGTAAACAATAAATAGGCCTAAACCATTCCATTTCGGAAATTGCATTCACGAGTGAATCTTGAATCTTTGAGTCTTTGATGTAATAAAGTATGAAAAACAGCATGAAAAATGTATAAACTCAATAAATGTAAGTCGCTCTGGATAAGAGCGTCTGCAAAAAAAATGACTAAATGACTAAAATAAAGGCTTTACAAAAAAACTTTACATACACTCTGGTACGTTTATAATTTATTTAGTGTTGTATTTACATTGTTCCAAACAGTCAGAAAACGTATATTGTAATCTAACAGCACCTGTTTGGCACACATAATATGCACGCAGCGCTTGCTCCTTACTTTATTTTTCTTGATCGCCAGTATTTTCCACAACTACTAACATTTATTCCACACATCTGACTTCCCCTTTACCTCCTGAGCAACCAGTAAACATTCCCCCGTTTCGAGTTTATTGGTCACGTCCTCTGCATCCATTTTGCTGTCACGTGTTACGGTGTTCAGAGTTTGTTATAACCAATTTATTGATGTGATTATGATATGCTATAGGTCAGGCCCTATTGGTCACGTGCATGCGATGCATACATGTGTCACGTAAAGAGAGCAAGAGTTGAGGGAATAGGGAATGTTTTTTCTAAACAAATGAGGGATTTTGGTAACATAACTTTTCAGTCAGAAATGGCTGCAATTATGTTGCAGCTTCAGCAACACGGACAGCGTGATACACACTGTTGATGTTCTGTGGTGGTCGCTGCAGCAGGGAGGAGAGAGAGACAACGGGTGCTAGTCACACAGTCACTCACTGTTTTTTTTCTTCTGAACACAGCGCAGCAAGTCTGAGCCAGGCACAGCACAATCAAATCAATTGTGGTCAGACTCCCTCTAGTCATTTGTATGTCTTAATTATTTAATCAAACAGTTCACGTAAAGCACCAGACAAGCTCAGCACCTATAGTTGATTTTTCTATATATGCAAAAATGCACGTTTAAAAATGTCAACCAATCGATTGGTTGAAATAACAGATGACTCTTGGTCACCCCCTGTCCATGCAATCTTATGTATCTAAAAATATAAACTGATCCTAGATCAGTAGTACTACTCTGCGCTTTATGAATACAGGCCCTTAACGAAGACTAGCACACTTCGACCAGGTCAGGTCACTCACCCCACAGACAGCCACCTGCATGATGGCATCGAAGCCTCCCTCAGGGGAGTCCAGGTTTCCAGAGATCTGCTGCTTGCTGACCAGGCTGTTGAACTGCTGCCCGTTCTCAGTCAGCTTCAGCACATTCTTATAGCTGAAGGGGCTGGTGCAGTTCTCATTGCTCGTGCAGGGGTTCAACAGCCGGGCTGGGGTGGTGCTGATGTAGGGCATCACAGTCTTCTCCACAAATGAGCCGAAACCTGGTTAGGAAAACAGTCAGGGTTTAGAAAGCGCTGGCAGAGGAGGCACACATGGGCAGTGTCTGGCTGTAGCTAAGGAGGAAGGACAGGAGTTGGGAAACCAAAATCGTCCCTGCCACTGCTCAGACACCAGGAGATGTACTAAGACAAGGAATGAAACATTGAGGACTGGTGTTCCCAGGCTCATAACCCTTTAGCTGGCCTACAGGCACCGTTGGAGCTGCGACAGGCAGAGATGCCCAGCAGGTAACTACCTATCTGTATAAAGGACACCTTTTATAGATGTTGGAAGAGTTGATTTACTTTGAACGTTTTGAAGTTGAACGTCGCTTACCAATCCTGAAGTCTGATGTGATCTCCTGCATCTCACGCATCAGGTCAGTCCCCAGGTTCTTGACGTTCTCCAAATCGTCTTTCATGGAGAAGGAGAGGTCCATCAAGTAGTAGAGGTCGATGGGGTAGTCCTCTGCCCGCTTGAACTTCAGCTTAAACGTCTGGGCCTCACCTGCATGGTGGAAATAGAATAGAATGGAAAAGATTCAGAGAACATGAAGACTTCATTATTCCGGATGATACAAACATCAACAGGATTCTGACTGACAATTTAGATTCAGCCATCAATGACTGCGTGTTAATGGCAATTTCAAGAAAGATTGCATATCCTAGCATGTCCTGTATAGATACAGTGAGGGAAAAAAGTATTTGATCCCCTGCTGATTTTGTACGTTTGCCCACTGACAAAGAAATGATCAGTCTATAATTTTAATGGTAGGTTTATTTGAACAGTGAGAGACAGAATAACAACAAACAATCCAGAAAAACGCATGTCAAAAATGTTATAAATTGATTTGCATTTTAATGAGGGAAATAAGTATTTGACCCCCTCTCAATCAGAAAGATTTCTGGCTCCCAGGTGTCTTTTATACAGGTAACGAGCTGAGATTAGGAGCACACTCTTAAAGGGAGTGCTCCTAATCTCAGCTTGTTACCTGTATAAAAGACACCTGTCCACAGAAGCAATCAATCAATCATATTCCAAACTCTCCACCATGGCCAAGACCAAAGAGCTCTACAAGGATGTCAGGGACAAGATTGTAGACCTACACAAGGCTGGAATGGGCTACAAGACCATCGCCAAACAGCTTGGTGAGAAGGTGACAACAGTTGGTGCGATTATTCGCAAATGGAAGAAAAACAAAAGACATGTCAATCTCCTTCGGCCTGGGGCTCCATGCAAGATCTCACCTTGTGGAGTTGCAATGATCATGAGAACGGTGAGGAATCAGCCCAGAACTACACGGGAGGATCTTGTCAATGATCTCAAGGCAGCTGGGACCATAGTCACCAAGAAAACAATTGGTAACACACTACGCTGTGAAGGACTGAAATCCTGCAGCGCCCGAAAGGTCCCCCTGCTCAAGAAAGCACATATACAGGCCCATCTGAAGTTTGCCAATGAACATCTGAATGATTCAGAGGAGAACTGGGTGAAAGTGTTATGGTCAGATGAGACCAAAATCGAGCTCTTTGGCATCAACTCAACTCGCCGTGTTTGGAGGAGGAGGAATGCTGCCTATGACCCCAAGAACACCATCCCCACCGTCAAACATGGAGGTGGAAACATTATGCTTTGGGGGTGTTTTTCTGCTACGGGGACAGGACAACTTCACCGCATCAAAGGGACGATGGACGGGGCCATGTACCGTCAAATCTTGGGTGAGAACCTCCTTCCCTCAGCCAGGGCATTGAAAATGGGTCGTGGATGGGTATTCCAGCATGACATTGACCCAAAACACATGGCCAAGGCAACAAAGGAGTGGCTCAAGAGGAAGCACATTAAGGTCCTTGAGTGGCCTAGCCAGTCTCCAGACCTTAATCCCATAGAAAATCTGTGGAGGGAGCTAAAGGTTCGAGTTGCCAAACGTCAGCCTCGAAACCTTAATGACTTGGAGTAGATCTGCAAAGAGGAGTGGAACAAAATCCCTCCTGAGATGTGTGCAAACCTGGTGGCCAACTACAAGAAACGTCTGACCTCTGTGATTGCCAACAAGGGTTTTGCCACCAAGTACTAACTCAGTTTGCAGAGTGGTCAAATACTTATTTCCCTCATTAAAATGCAAATCAATTTATAACATTTTTGACATGCGTTTTTCTGGATTTTGTTGTTGTTATTCTGTCTCTCACTGTTCAAATAAACCTACCATTAAAATTATAGACTGATCATGTCTTTGTCAGTGAGCAAACGTACAAAATCAGCAGGGGATCAAATACTTTTTTCCCCTCACTGTAAAGTATCATATAGCTACATGGCCAATGAGTTGGGCCAGTCAGGAGGCTGGGCCGATATTTACAAAACCCCTTAGAGTAGGAGTGCTGATCTAGGATCAGGTCCTCCATGTCCATCTAATCTTATTCATTATGATCTACAAGATAAATCTGATCCTATATCAGCACAGGTCAGGAGTTAAGTCTTTACCGGATCGGAGGTTGAGTGTAAGTTTCTGGGGCTGGATCTGAGTGATCTGGTCAGGCTTCAGCTTCTCGGCCACGTCCTTCTTGCGGTTGGTGACGGGCTTGTCCTTGTCGATGGAGATGCTGCCCCGGGGGTTCTCGATCTTGGCCTTACTGCAGCCCTTCGTGATCAGGGACTTCAGCTCATCACAGCGGGCTGACTTAGACTCTCCCTGCTTCAGGAAGTCCTGCACAGAGAAAGAAAACAACACATTTCATTACAGATGACAAATAACCCAAACTTTCTTATTTTTATATTTGATATTTATTGACTTTTATGTTTTCTTCTTTTCACAATCATTATCATAGATACAGAAGAACACAGCCCAAACTAGAAAATGAATGAGGGGTTAACACGGCAGAATGCCTGTCAAAACTGGCCCTTGACTAGATGTGCCCTGGAGGTATGTATTTTAAGGATCTCTGTCCTCTAGCTATTTACCCTGCATATGCAAGCTGTCTGAACACTTTCTCTGCGTCCCTAATGGCACCCTATTCCCTATATAGTACACTACTTTTGACCATGGCCCAAGTAGTGCACTATGTAGGGAATAGGGTGAATTTGGGATACAGCAAATAGGCCATTCTCCGTATGGAACAGGCAAAGTTTAGATTGGATGCAAATTATTTCTCACAAGGCACTGCAGTGGTTGGCATAGACAATGTGCCAAGTCTGAATAAAAATTGTACTATGTCCATCATCAATCTTAAAAGGGTATTTTTCTGAATCAAACCATTACACATCATTTTATAATGGGCATTATTGCTGAAGATATGTCTGTTTTTGATTCTGTTTCATCAGTGTTGAACGAGGTACCTGACATTTGGTGTTGCTCATTGAGATTGGTAAAGAGGTAGACTGCACTAAGTTCTTTAGCAGCCTGCATTGTTGACCTTTGATAAAGAACAGGCATGCATCCCACATGGGGGTGCACTACATTTGACCAGGCTTGGGTCAAAAGTAGTGCACTATGTAGGGAATAGGGTGCCATTTGGGATGCAACCCCAGGCAAACTCTGACAGGAAGCGTCAGGGTGAGTTATGTTCTGTAACGTGACTCACGACAGCTCTGCATTACAATACTCTCAGTTGGCGGCACCTCCCCCAATCACCCACTCTACCATTTCACGGCAAGCTCTCATTAACTGGTATTTGAATCATATACCTGCCATTGTTAACCTCTAAACATTCTGCCCCTGTTAGCATGTGCATTCAAACAACTTTATCAAAGACACACTTACAGCGTCTGTACACCATCCACATTTCTCTGCGACCTGGATGCATTCCCCACATGATTGTGCATTCGCCTTGATGCAATCACTGCCCTCTGAGAGGAAGGAACAATATTTTATAAGAAACATCCACAACTATTTGCAAAGAGGCAGCATTCAGAAAGGCTGCATCACAAATGGCACGCTATTCCCCATCTAGTGCACTACTGTGGTCTATATGGTCAAAAAGTAGTGCACTACATAGTGAATAGGGTTCCATTTGGGATGCTAACATTTTGTGATTCAAATCTGCCTGTCTAGCAGGCTCAACAACATGGTATTTCATTTCTTCCAATATATTCCATTGAGAGCCATGCTGCTGAAGCCAGGCAGCTGTAGACAGTTTCTTAAATACATGACATCATCCCATTTGGACAACCTGCCTCCTCTTAAACCATAATGCAATTCTGAAATTAACTACCACACTATCATGATCTGAAGAATATGCATCAAAGAGCAACAAAAATAAGTCAAAAGAGCAGACAAAAAAGTAAGATGTAGAACATTGTGTCGTGTGTGAATCAAATGACCTTACCTTGCTGTGCACTGCAGAAACATAAGATTCCTAATAATGTTGCTATAGAAAGTAGCTTCAGATCCATCTGAAAGGAGACAAAACAGACAGTGGTTAATTCAATCTGCTGGACATGGATTGAGTGAAGCACATATCACATTCTAAAAGCAAGATGCCACAAAGGGCTGTGACGGAAAAGATATTGCGATATTGGTATAAAAACACGAAGCAGACCAAACTATTTGGTCCTTTAAAAATCTGCTGTATGTAAAATAGTGTGTGCTATAGCTTGGAAAATAAATAAATGTGCCTCTGGATGACAACATAATGATGTTTGTTTCCATCATTAGGGCTGTTTTCCTAAAGAAGTTAAATATACTTCGTGTTTTATTTCCTTGCCATGATACTAACGAGTATCGCGATACTGGTACCGTCCCGGCCCTACAAAGGACCTCTTTATAAGTTACAGTGGCCTACAGCCTGCACATGGTGGGATATGGCTTACAGCTTGCACATGGTGGGATATGGCCTACAGCCTGCACATGGTGGGATATGGCCTACAGCCTGCACATGGTGGGATATGGCCTACAGCCTGCACATGGTGGGATATGGCCTACAGCCTGCACATGGTGGGATATGGCCTACAGCCTGCACATGGTGGGATATGGCCTACAGTCTGCACATGGTAGGGTATGCATGCCAATGGTTATGAAGCTGTGGTAAAGCATTTAAAGGTGGGTAACAGGGTTTAAAGTGTGAGGACGTGTTGCACGGTGAGATCATCTAGATACGTTTCCTGTAAGTGACGAAACCCAACTTTTGGTTAAGCCTATAGCATGAGGGTGTTTTGAGAAGTGTGCAATGCATTCAGCAAAACATGAACAACGCAAGTTCATTTCATGTAGCTGCTGTTTACGCATGCCAAAGGTAGTCAGGGACGTGAATATCTAATCAGGTCATCTTCAGATAAGGACCTACACACCCCAGAGAAACATGCAGGACATGAGTCATAAAGTCATTGCTTGAAGTGTGTTCATCTGCACTGCAAGGAAGACATTGTTCAAGCTGCTGCAGCTTAATCACATTTAACATAAATAGGCCTGGCCACTAATACAGTACACAGAACACTCTACCAACAACTACCACCATTGTCACTGAACAAAAAAACCAAGAAAAACTATAATGGAGAAGAAAAAAGTCACCAGCTGAATTCTTTATCATCATTGTAGTCATAACTCCTTGGAAACAAGGAGGCCAACATTTCTATTGGGCTAACCCTATACAGAGAAGATATGGGGCCTTATTCACAACCATTGCCTAAATTTCACACTAAATATCTGCATGCACCATTTCTGAAAAGACTGCGCACTTACAGGGCTCCTGAGAGGCGCAGCGGTCTAAGGCACTGCATCTCAGTGCTAGAGGTGTCACTACAGACCCTGGTTATTTCCAGGCTGTATCACAATCCGGCCGTGACTGGGAGTCCCATAGGGTGGCGCACAATTGGCCCAGCGTCGTCCTGGTTTGGCCAGGGTAGGCCGTCATTGTAAATGATAGTTTGTTCTTAACCGACTTGCCTAGGTAAATAAAGGTTAAATAAAAAGTAGAGATTTCTAAACTTGGTGCACGCCATACATGCGAATGTTCCCCATTATAAATCAGACCCATCCTGAAAGGGTGCGCGTGTGAACAAGCATTAAAACTATTTTATGGTGCCCTTATTTGCTGTATACTTTGGAAGTATTCGAATTAGGCCGAGGAATTTTTCTAAAGGAAATAGCAATAGTGAACTTCATCAAATATCTTTGGAGGTGATGGCAGAATGTTAAACTTTTGCAGTGACATTTGCTGTAGGCCTAGGCTATCCGACAGACAAAAAGTTTATGAAAGACAACAATTGCAAATAGCCGTGGACCTCTAAACAGACCGTTTTAATTTAATAGGGCCTAATGTTTTGCATGTACTTTTTCTCAAACCTATGCTGCACTGCCCACGAATTCTGAAACATTGTCTACTTACAGTGGTAGCCATACACACTTCAATGCAAAAGATCAACTGTCTGTTCACCTGTTAAATTCTACTGTATGTTATAAACTATGCTTCCTTTCTGATGCATAGAGCAAAATACTTGAAATAATAGCGTATCTAATAGGCCCAATTAAATGAGAGACGCGCATGGTGATTTGTTGTAGGCTATGGCTACTTCGGGAATATGAACCCATCATCGCCAGAAAAGGTGAAGAATTTATTCTGCAATGGTTATGAAAATATGTGTATAAATGCAATATTGTCTTCTCGATACATTTGAAATTACAATATTCAGACGTAAGCTACAGCAGTAGCCTACAACCGTCTGTTCCACGTTAGTAAACTGCGCCCGGATCGGACGGCATAGAGCAAAATACTTGAACTAGCTTATCTATTTACTACTGTGAAGTGTGTCCAATTAAACGAGAGATGGGAAGAATGGTATCTCTCCCGAGTGGCGCAGTGGTCTAAGGCACTGCATCGCAGTGCTAGCTGTGCCACTAGAGATCTTGGTTCGAATCCATGCTCTGTCGTAGCCGGCCGCGACCGGGAGACCCATGGGGCGGCGCACAATTGGCCCAGCGTCGTCCAGGGTAGGGGAGGAAGTGACCGGCAGGGATGTAGCTCAGTTGGTAGAGCATGGCGTTTGCAGCGCCAGGGTTGTGGGTTCGATTCCCACGGGGGGTATGGAGAAAAAAAATGAAAAAACTGTAAGTCGCTCTGGATAAGAGCGTCTGCTAAATGACTCAAATGTAAATGTATCATTGTTTAAGGCCTATGCTACCTCGTGAGTATGAAACCATCACAGAAAAGGTGAGGAATTTATTATGCATTGATCATGGAAATTAAACAAATAATAGCCTAGGAAATAGATGCCTATTTCTAATTATTTTAAAACGCAATTAAACGAAATACATTCTCTCTTCTCACTAATGGCAAATGATTGCATCTTGTTATTAACCTGTTTATTGTTATGAATAAGCATGTCCATCATATCTACTTGCAATGCTTCAACCACTAGAAACTTGCTTCAACCACTAGAAACTGTGCGTACGCATGGTCTCAAGTTTGTAGGAAGGTGAGCACATTTTCCAGTCAAGTTCAGTTTTTATAAATGCCAACTTGCATGAAAACTGGCACACGCATGTTTTGGGGTACATTTTGTGCGTACACATGGTTTATAAATGAGGCCCCAGGATCCCAAATGGCACCCTATTCCTTATATAGTGCCCTACTTTTGACCAGGGCCCATAGGGCTATAGTCAAAAGTAGTGCACTATATAGCGAATAGGGTGCCATTTGGAAGACATCCCTTGACAAGACCACTGCTTCCTAACACAGAGCAGAGAATGGAGAGGTGTGAGTCTTCTACTCCCATATATGGTCCAGCACTTCTCGCTCCCTCTCCCAGTGACACATTTCCTCTGATGGCCTGGATCCTGCCCAGTTTTCCTCTCATTTATGAAGTCAGCCTCTCTCTGGCAGTCTCGCTTTCCCTTTCTCAAGTTCTGTCTCTCAGTCCGGTAGAAGACACACAGCATGACGCAGAGAGTCCACCTTGCCAACAATACTTGGTTAGAGAGAGTCAGAGAGCAGAAACAGCCTTATTGGGTATCTTATATTGTAGCATTACCCACTTCACAAGTATCACTTAAATAAAGGTGAAATAAATAAAATAAAATAAAAATCACTGACATATTTCAAAAGTACACCCTGGAATACTGTATTTTTTTTCTTGACAAAATTATCAGCTTGGGCAGTGTTTTCTAGGGAGTCATTTGTGTAAGTGAACACAGCCTAGCCTATGAAAAAGTAACCATATCCTGTGGGAATACACACAGACAGAAAAAGAGACAGAGAGACAGACAGACAGAGAGACAGGAAATCTTCACACTGTTCCAACTGATTTTAGCAGTCACATCCAATAAATAAAATAAAAAGGTATAAAAAAGGTACAAGAGGGGTATTGCCCATCTAGACGTAGCCTACATCCAAAGACAGACAACAGGATCGTATTCACAAGTAGACACTAAACGGAAGAAAATGGACTGAAACAGGGAAGGTCTACCTGAACTTGTCCAATAAGAAACTAATTTTTGTTGCGAAATGTTTTCCATTGCAAAAAGTTTTGCTATGGTTTGTTGTGCACTAGTAACGAATACGATCCAGTTGAACATGATACAACACAAATGGCAGCAATGCCAGTTCCTCTAATCATCCAGACTCCCCCCAACATTCCTGGACACCATCTTTGTTTACAGGATATCATCCTCTATAGAGCACCAAATTGTAGGGGGTTGACTGATCTAGGCTACATCCCAAATGGCACCCTATTCCCTATATATTGCACTACTTTAGGCCAGGGCCAATGTTTCAAAACTGCTACCTTTTCTCTTATCTCCATGGAAAAAAGGTGTAGAATTGCAGGAAATTAGCTTTAAAACTGAAGCAATTTCTCTCAGCTCCTTGGAGAAATGTGTAGAATTGCAGGAAATTGGCTTAAATTCAAAAAAATGATCTACACCGCCAAGATGTCGCCTCTAGAATTGTCTCTAAAATCAAGCCGTGCAGATGGGCCGACCGCGCCCTTTGCCATGCCCCCTGCTACGCCCACCTAAGCCCCCTTTTTATCCAGAAAAAGCCTTGGTAGCCTAGGCTAAAGGCGTCAGCATGCTTCAGTTTGGCTGGCACACAAACTCTAGTAGGGCAAACCGAACAGGTGTGCTTGCATACTCCCTTAAAAGACCTTCACTTGAAAAATAAGAAAAAGCTGCAAAAGTACTGTTTATCCATTGTGAGACATTATAGCCAGTATACACTTCCTCAAAAATCTATCATTAATTTTGACGTTTTTGCCGAGGCGAGCTTAGTAGCGCAATTTTACATCTAACTAAGATGTTTGGTGCAGTATTTCTCACTGAAAATTTTTGCTTAAAAACGAGTCGTCTCTGGTTGAATGACAAAGACTTTTGAAGAAACCCTACTGTTGACCAATCACCGACGAAGGAGCGTAGACTTCGGCTACCGACTTCAGCTTGCCTCCAGGAAAACTGTGTCCGAAAAGCTGAAAAAAACCCTCACCAAAATGCAAAACTAACAAACACGTCACAAAACGCCATCATAAAACTCTTCCGAACTGTTTCGGCTGGGAAGCACGCGGACGCCTTAATCGACACCGGACAGCCTAACATGGTAGAACTGGTATGCGGAACTGTGAAACCTGATTAACACAACTACAAGAGACAATTCTGCAAATTGAGTCTAAACCACCTGGATGTCAGTTAAATTTGAGAGGGAATCTAATCTAGGGTCACCAGATGTCTTTGACTACATCAAAATACACACAATCGAACAGTATCCAAACTGATTTGTAAAACTGCATTCAGAGCCTACTTTCTAAGGGTGTGCAGCTGGTCTGCTGTGGTGGTGTTAAGCCTTTCCCAAGGTGCATCCCAAATGTCACTCTTTTCCATAAATAGTGCACAACCTTTGACTAGGGCCCATAGGGCTCCGGTTCTAAACTAGTACACACAGACCCAGTCAACGGTCAGGAAAATCCATTCTCTTAGCATGGGAAACCACGACTCATCTTGGCTGAGGACCAGATCATGGGAAAGGGAATATCCATTCTCTTAGCATGGGAAACCATGACTCATCTTGGCTGAGGACCAGATCATGGGAAAGGGAATATCCATTTTCTAAAAGCAGTATATCAGTCATGGGAAACAGTCAGTGATCTGTGTAGGGATTAAATAACTAAATGTCTACTTTAAGAGATGACAACAGAGGGAAATGTGAAAAACCTGTACAAACCTCAAGGAATTTCAGGGATTTTAAGGTGACGTTTCTGAAACTGTGAACAGAGGCTGTCTGTCATGGCATGTTTAAGAGCATAATATTTATATTAGTGTGAATAAACACTGGCGAATCGTGGCTTTGTATGGTCAGGTTCAACAGAGAGAGAGAGCAGTCTAACTGTTGCAGTCGTACCTGCAGCTGTGTAGTACTAGGACTAGGGGGGGTGCACGTTTTGGTTTTTGTCCTAGCACTACACAGCTGATTCAAATAACCAACTCATCAAGCTTTGGTAAAGAACATTACATTAAGGTCATTAAGCAGACACTCTTATCCAGAGCGACTTACAGACTCAACTAACGTAGGGAAGACAACCACATCTCAGTCACCGCAATGAAAACCGAACTCAATAAATAACTCTACATTATATTACCACAGTCTAGCACTGACCAGACAAATTGTTTTCTATAGGTCTTAAAGGGTACCTAGGGAGAACACTAGAGGTAACCCAATCCCCTAAACCGTTATGGTCTGCTGCGTCGCCTCATCTCACCAGTCATTGGATGCAGACAGGTCATGTTGAAGACGGGGTGGTTTAATCTACAGCCTGGCTGAAAGAAGCACGCCTCGGGGGCAGAAGCATGCTCTTGCTCTGTGATGTAAATTCACCAAACGTCCCATTGCAGACACATCTAGCTGCCCTGTGAAGAGAATCTGTTCCTTATGCATGTAAGGCTCCACCCACTCACCAGCCTTGGGAGTGACATTCTTGACATTTCTCTGCAGAACAGAGTAGAAAATGAGTGAGAATATCTCCATAAAACGCTTTCCTACTGCTTACTTGACTGGGTCACTGTCAGAGTCCACTGAGTTATGTGTAAGAATGGGCTGGTTTTGAATCTAAAAACAGTCTTGTAAGGTTTCCAGCATAATGGAAGCTTCAGTCACACACACTCAGGTCGCCACGTGTACTTTACTCCATTCAGAATGTGTCAACATCTCTGCTCGTCTGCTGTACAAAAGTCGACAAACTCTGCCTGCACTCCAAAATTGTATAGAAATATGTAATTGTTTAGAAAAAGTTATATTTGCATTATGGATTCTAAAATAAAGAAAGTGCATAGGTTAAGATGTATGTTTTGGACAGTCTACAGCTGAAATGTCTAGTTCCATTCTGTAGTTTTGCAGAGTGTCAACACATCACCAATATCTCCAAGATTTTGAGCAAACATCAAACCTAGGCCTAATGTTTGCTCAAGATGCAGCTAAAAAAAGGGAGAATATTGCAGTCATTTGTAATGATTAACACAATCCTGTTTAAAGAGGGGGAGACATTACAAGACCTAACGCCTATCCACTGAGTCAGTTGGTTGTGTTTATGGGAGGTTTCATCTTCTTGCTAAGCAGTCGCTAAACTAACTATGCACAGTTTGAGCTGCATCCGGTGATATTGAAAGACAGACCATACCTGTATGGGATATGCATCTCACAGCCTCACTCACCTCTCTGGTTAACCACATGAAACCGCGTCGATAGACCACTTTTGGCTGCACACAAATAGGGACGTGTACAAAATAAGCTTTTACTGTACATACAGCCCGTTACAACAAACATGTGTAACTCCTCTCAGAAATGGAGGTGGGGGTAGGTCTAGATCGTGATCTCAGATCGTACCCGGAGAATGAGATAACACATTCCAACTTAATAGTCATGTTCCAGATCCAGACCTCAACACATAAAAGAGTAAAAACACAAACAAATGACTCATGCAAACTTCCCCCATGAGGGGTCTAGTGCTAGGCCTATTAACTTTAGTCGACACTGCCAGGCCTGAGAGGTCTACTCATTTCAGCATGCAATGTGACTCATATCTGACTTGGAAGTCTGAACAGCATGCCATTGAATCAGTAGGTCAACTCAGGACGGGCCAGTCATCCGTTGAATCAGTCTGACAACTTGTCTCAGAATAGGTGTGCCGATTTAGGATCAGTTTAGAATTTTAAATCACAATGAATAACAATACATGGACAGGGGGACCTGATCCTGATCCTAGCACTCCTACTCAGATGTTTGACCTCAAGACTGATCAGTCATATAGCCTACTGCAGTATGATATTATCCAGACACTCCTAGTCTAGCATCCCAAACGGTACCCTACTCCCTTATAGTGCACTACATTTTGCCAGTTGCGACACAGTCCTAGGCTAGCCCAGTGCTATTGTTGCTGTTAAAGGGACAGTTTGGGAATTGGCAATGAAGGATGAATTTATCTTCTTCTCCAGAGTCAGATGAACACCTGGATACCATTTGTATGACTGAGTTCAGTTTGAATTAAGTTGCCAACTAGCGTTAGCACAATGACTGGAAGTCTATAGGAACAGCTAGCATGCCATCTGTTCCTGTAGACTTCCAGCCAATGCACTAACGCTAGTTAGCATTGGTTTACGAAACTACCTCTACGTCCAGTATGAACAAAGTTAGAGACATAAAAATGGTAACCACAAGCTCATCTGTAGCTCAGCTGGTAGAGCACGGCGCTTGTAACGCCAAGGTAGTGGGTTCGATCCCCGGGACCACCCATACACAAAAATGTATGCACGCATGACTGTAAGTCGCTTTGGATAAAAGCGTCTGCTAAATGGCATATTATATTATTATTATCTGACTTAAGTAGATAAAGGGCTTCAGTGCAAAAATCCTGAACTAATCCTTTAAGTCATGACAATGTAACTAACGGAAGGCAATGTATGCACATATGACTAAGTCGCTTTGGGTAAAGCGTCTGCTAAATGGCATGTATTGTATTATATAGGGAAGGGAAGTGACTCATTGAGTCAGCTTAACATCACTTCTACCCTGTGGTCTGTTTGCTATTATGAAGCATCTGAAGTGACTCTGAACCTATGTAATCACCACTGTGTGTGTGTGTGTGCGCGCGCAAGATCAAATGCAAGAGTTTTTTTTTTTTTTTTTAACCTTTATTTAACTAGGCAAGTCAGGTAAGAACAAATTCTTATTTACAATGACGGCCTACACCGGCCAAACCCAGACGACGCTGGGCCGCCCTATGGGACTCCCAATCACGGCCGGTTATGATACAGCCTGAAATCGAACCAGTGGGTCTGTAGTGACGCCTCAAGCACTGAGATGTAGTGCCTTAGACCACTGCGCCACTCGGGAGCCCTTGAGACAATGTTAATACTATGTCATTAAACGTTCTAGGTCTATGATATCAGAAAGGATCTCCTAATCAAAGACTGTCATTTCACCCCAATTAATCTGACTAAGGCCATTAAACTAAGCCACTTTAATCCTTAAAACAAGAAATTGGCAAGAATGGCTCAGTCAGACAGCAAATAGCAATCTGGATTGGTGGCGGTGCTTAAGGCGTCTGCATGCTTCCTTTTCGAAATGGTTCGGAACAGTTTGTACATATATTATGATGACATTTTGTGACTTTTTTGTTTGTTTTGCTCTTCGGCACAGCCGAAAGTTAGTAGCCGAAGTCTACGCCCCTTTGTTGGTGATTGGTCAACAGTAGGGATTCTTCAATTAAGTGTGTGTTGTCATTCAACAAGAGATTAATCATTTTCATGCACATTTCTTCACTTGAGAAATAGCTAGTTATAAAATTGCGAGACTAAGATCTCAGACAAAAACATCAATTCAAGAAATATGTCATTAAATGTCTTAGATTAATTCTGACTATTTTGAGGAAGTGTATACTGACTAGTGTCTCAAGATGGACAAACGGTACCATTGAGACCTTTTTCTAATTTGTCAAGCGAAGGTCTTTTAAGGGATTATGCGAGCACACTCGTTCGGTTTGCCAATAGGCGCAAGACGAACCGAAGCATGCGGAAGGCTTTCCACAGCTTAACAAATCATTCTGCGCCTCGCCTTCTTTGTGTTGGGCTGCTGAAGAACGCACCCTCCGGCTACACTGTTCTTACAGGAAGTGATTATAAAGGCAGGACCTATCTTGTCAGTCTCAATGCACACAGTCAACCCAACTCACAGTCAACTTAACTACAGAATCAGTGTACTACACATGGCCTATGTCCTAAATGGCACCATATTCTTTACGTAGTCCCTCCTGTACTACCCCATAGGGCCCTGGTCAAAAGTGGTACACTGCATAGGGAATAGGGTGACATTTGATACATGATGAAATACAGGTTAACCACTCACAACAACACATACAGCTCTGGATTTGATCAATGCTAAATGGTGAACCACAGTTTACACACACTGTCTCTCACGTTGATACCATGGATTAGGCCAGAGAGAGTGAAACGGTAGATTTCAATAGTTCTTTTTTGTTGTTGTCCCTGGCTGAAACTGACTGAGTTACAATTTGAAGACATACACCCAATTCTCTATATCAAAGGCTGCTGTGAGACACTCCCAAGTAAAATCGTAGTTATTTGATACAATCTACCGTTTAAGCATCTGTGCAATGACATTAGAAATCTGTGGACATAGTCTACCAAATATTGATTGACACCGTCCATTTTAGACTACCCCAGGGAGAGACACTCGATGGCCAAGAGCCCAGGCCTTCTAACCAATCCCCTTTGGGCAATGGCGGCAACAATGTTACAATGTGGTCTGTAACAACTCCAGATACAATATATCCCTTTCAAAAACGTTAAGTTACATCATGGCATAGGGGCTACATTTTAGAGTAGACTAACGTAAATGTCAGCCTCTGAAATTTCAAATATGATAGGAAGGAAGGAAGGCCTGCTTTGATATCCTGTCTTCTACATTCCCTCCAGACAGTGGACGACAATGGGGTACAAACAAATACAACGCCTACCAACCAAAATGCGTCCAAATGTAATGATACGGGCCTAAAACTGGACAATTTAGTAACTTACCTTGGCAGGCAACAGATACACAAAAAAAGCAAATGTTGGCCTATTTGATACGAGTGAATTCACATAGCCAATCGGTTTTCGTCGTCCCATCCGACAGCGGCTATCCCCACCCAAAGTTCCTCAACTCATTCCTCATCATACCCTTTGTCGAATCCCTTTAACATTTCAGTAGCCTATACAATCTTGGCATAGCCTAACCAGATATGCTGGACGTCATTTTAGAAAATAAAGTACAGAAAATTTACCTTGACCCGTGTTTTTGTCTTTGTTTATAATTTCTGCAAAAATAAGTATCCCGTGCGCTTTTTCTAGAGAAAAAAACTGTTCTTCACGGAAGGAAATACACCAAAGTATTAGTGATGTGCCTTATCCGTTAAAAATTATACTTGCCCCGTTCAAAATACAAAAAAGACGAGGAAAAGCGTGATGTAAATTCTTTTACTAGGGACAACTCGCCCGAACACGTTAAAATAGGTCCTCAGTCTAGGACGAAATATCTTTCCTTCAACAAATTGGGCGACGAATTGTAGCCACCTCTCCTTATCTAGAACCGCCCACACAGGAAATGCCGACTGTACTTGGGAGGGCAGTGAAGCAAACTCAGACACAACCTGTGAACCCTCCTATTCCTAAGTCACGCTTCTGACCCTGACTCTGACCCTGACCCTGATCTTATTAGACCACTTCATACACAAAGTCTTCTTTTCCTAACCGTGTGGGGACACACAATTGATTGCCATTCAAAATCCTACTTTCCCTAACCAAACCCTAACCATTAACCTAACCTTAACCCCAAAACCTAACCTTAACCCTAAAAGTAGATCCCCTAGAAATAGCCTTTTTCTGGCAAAATGTCCCGTTGGTCAAATGACATACATTTTATTATTTTACTACAAG